GCGGCACCGGCGTTACCGGCGGCGGCGACGGCCGTTTTGAGTTGCAGCCTCACAACCGGTCTCAGCACCGCCGCCGCCAGACGCCTGGGCAGCCCCGTCAGAGACCCCGGCGGGGGCGGCGGCCGCCGCTGTCGCCGCCGCAAAGAAAAAACTACATCCCTAGAACCAGCAGCGGCAGCGGCGGCGTCAGGGCTATTGGCGTACTCCTCGATCTCAAGCGCCGTCAGCCCGCCGTGCCGTACGCCGCTGCCGTACTCGTCCGCCGCAGCCAGCGCTCCGCCCGGAGCAACTGCCGCTGCGGCGCCGTCGCTGCCGCCAGCGTCGCCGCCGCCAGGCCGGCGTTCAGAAACCAGCGGTACGGCAGGCCGTAGCGGCAGTACGGCGGAACCCACATCATCACGAACTGTACGACGCGGCTGCTCCTGCCGCTGCACCCTTGCATGGCTGCTGCGACCGCCGACAATCCCATGCAAAGCGTCGCCAAGGCTGCCATGCATGTGACGGGCGGGATCTTCACCCGTCGTACCGCCGGCGGCGGCGGCGGCGGCGGCGGCGGCGGCAGTAGTTGCAGCACCATGCGCATGATGGCGATTAAGATGTGGCAGCAGCGGCGGCGAGGGCGGTAGGTGCAGCCCTAGGGCCCTGTGTGCCCGTACCCTAACGTGGTGGGCGTGAGGGTCGTGCGGCGGGTCACCCCACAGCAAGTCCCGGTGGACGGCCTCAGCCGCTGCGGCGGCGGCTGCCGTGGGTACTGCCGTGGGTACTGCCGTGGTTGCTGGTTGCGGCTGCTCCTGCAGCTCCTGCTGCTGCCGCTGCTCCTGCTGCTGACGGGTTGGCGTTAATGTTCGCGGCTGAGTTCGGGCCAGGGTCCCGGATACAGGGTGTCGCAGATTGGCCTGAGCGAGCTATGGATGATTGGTGACGGAAATCTCCCAGATGATGATTTCGGTTAAAGAAGGGTTCGGATGGGCTTCAGAGGCTTGAATGCTGAGCTGTAATCCGACGCGCGCAAGGTGGGCTGTCTTGTTTGTAAAGCGCGCAGCACCCGCTGACAGGTATTATTAAATACCTTTCAGCTGTAAAAAGGTAGCAGTTATGTGGCTGTGTACCAAAGATATGGTTGGATCTTCTGTCTTTCCGAGTTGCCGGCGGATTGTGCGACCCTAGGGTCCTGGGCGAAAACTTTACGCAACTTCCAAAGCGTTCTGTTGTTGTACACTCTTCTGTGGCCATATACGCCTCCGTTGTCGTCAGTTTGGCTTTATCTTGACGTCGGCAGGATCGTTGGTGCAGGTCTCGATGAGTCCAAGGATCGGGTGTACTTCAGTTGACGACTATGTTGTATGTACACGTCGGCAACAATACACATGACAAACCATTAATTAACCACTTCCGCTGCAAACTTTCTGTCTGGCTTTTAGGAAAGCACAAACATACAAGGCAGTACACGTAGAAGCGCAGCAAGGCTGCGAAATTTGGGAATGGGGTCACGCCGCCGGAAGCGGTTAAAACGATGGGTGCAAGCTTGGGGAAACGTGTAGGACAGCCGAAAAGAAGGAGGAAGATGGGTATCTGATTAGAAAGCAAAGCTAGGTTGCTGCACACCTGTTATCATCGATATCACGCTTGCTCCTTCTCACACACAATCACACATGCTCGTATGCGCAATGCTGTCTTCCAATACCCCTCCTGCCCTCACCAAGGTACAGCTCGTGCAAAATGAGAAGGTGCATGCGGGCTAGCTGTGCGCCTGGGTTGTGTGTGTAGCCAGACCTGAGACCCAAATAGTTTTGACATGCCGCTGGTTAGGATTGGGTTCATCGCCCGTGTTCCCTTTTAGGACATTCATTCATGCCGCTGGTTAGAAAGGAAAAGCTGCCAACAGCTTTACAGAGGAACAGCCGACTACAGAAAGATTCCAAGAACTGTTCCATCTCTACCTTCACACCCCCACCAAATGTTTCATACCCGGTATGGTATGCTGTCTTTGCGCTCTGGAGCCTTTGGTTCATTCAAAACAGCAAGCTCAGCAGCCGCTGACTAGGACGCCGCCTTGCGCCAATCAACCCCTTGATACGTGTTGCTACTAGACGCACACGCAAAAACCGCTTGCAGAAAGCCTCACACTCTAAAAACCTTCAACCTGCCCGCGCAACCAAAAGCACCCACACTTGGGCATGCGTCGTGTCTTGTGTTGCGTCTTGTGGCTTCTTCTGCGTTCAAAAGCACTCGAAGGAAGACGCCATTCGTATGTCGGAGAAGTTGGAATGATGCGACCCCCGGGGCGTCCAAGGTGGCATGATGCAAGCACGGGAGGCCCGCCGACAGCAGGGCAGATCCGGAACGCCTACTTAAAGCCTGCAATACTCCTTCTCTGACACCCGAGCAACACAGCAAACAACAGTTCTGAACGCTCAAGTCCTTAAAAGGTGAGAGGAGGTTCCGCATCACGCAGTTTCCTCGCGTCCGCGTCGGCATAGCGGGATCGCGGTCAGTTTCGTTTCGCGGTCGCTTGCTTTCTTTCCTCCTCCTTCCGCCTCACCTCAGCTGCTAGCGCACAGCTTCCGTCCTTCACTCTCACGCTCCATTCTCAAAACCTTTCAAGGAAGCTAAAGCCGCTTTCTTCTTATGAACTCCCACATTGCCCTCGCAGCTCTCTTCAAAAGACAACAAGCGCTACCACCCCCGCACCGCACCAACCGTCAGTCATGGACACCATCAAGGAGACCGTTCAGAAGGTCTGGAGGGGCGCGGGGGAGCTTGATTGCTGCAACTGCCGCGGGGGCGGTTGCGCGAGGTTTGGTTCCACATCAGCCCCGCTATATGTGGTGGGATGTGCTGACTCGAAAGCAGCAGCTGAAGAGCTACTACCAGCTTGCGAGTTTGTGCTGACCTGTATGACATGGCTTGCGCCCCTGTCTTGATTGGTATTTCGTATCTCCCTCTCCTGCTCGCCTTTCTACCACACTCGCCCCACCACCGCCCCACCCCCCACCCCCACCCCCACCCCCAGGCGGGGCACCGCGTGGAGGAGGCCCTCACCGGCGCCCACCACTCCGTCCAGGTGAGGCAGCAGGAAATGTGCAATGTGCGCTTTGGTGGGAGGGGACGAGAAACCTTTGGAAAGTTACGGTGATTGCCTGTGATGACCCATGGGTCACTTCGCGGCAGTCATAACACTCGCCTTGACTCGTTTTCGTGCCCTAAGTACCTCGCGCGTGGTGCAGCTTTAGCGAAAGGTGTAGTCTTTCGATGCATACTAGGACGTGTGACCTTCCCTGCCTTGGGTGTGACCCCTGGGTCGGTCGTAGTTCCTGGGCGCGCTTTGCCCATAAGACCTTGCCTACCCACAACAGCGGTAAGTATAAACCATTCTGCAACTCTCAACAACCTACTTCTACCCCTCCCCTCCCCCCCTTGCTTCCCTCCGCAGCAAACGGGCGACCAGGTCAAGGAGATGGCCATGGGCGGCCAGCACGGGGCCCAGTCCACGGTAGGCGTTAGGGTGTGTTGGCGACCTTGGCGTTAGGGTGTGTGTGTGTTAAAATAACTGGCCGCGAGGCGAAACGTACTGTGATTAATGTGTGTGTGTGTGTGTACGGTTGGGGGTCAGCAATATGGGGGGAAGGGGGAGGTAATAAGAGCCATGTTGGAGGTATCATGCCGGAACGCTGCTAACGACCAACCACAGACTCTCCTTCACACCCTCGTTTCCCCTGCAAGTACCACTTATTTCGTCCTCCCCAACCCGCCTCTGCCCCCCCCCGCCTACCCCAGGCTACCCGCTCCTCCCACGCGGCCCAGGAGACTGTCCAGGAGGTGAAGCGGGGTGCGGGAGGGGGAGGAGAAGCGGGGTATTTCCTAGACCTGGCATTGTTTGCTGTTGCACATCTCCTCGTACCATTTTGTACCTTTATACCAGTTTGGCGTAACCCCTGGCGGCAGTATCGCCGGGGAACGGCTGCTTTCCGCAAAGCCCCTTATTATTGATTACTCCTCGTTCTTTTACCTAACAGCCTCCCCCCCCGCACCCCCTCCCGACCCCATCAGACGGGCCAGCGGGCCGAGGAGGCGGGTGAGAAGGCCAAGCACAGCGTCGGCATCCACTCGTAGAGGGGTCCTAGGGTGTAGGGGCGTAGCAAGGAGGTTGCACGCGAGGGGGAGTTGAGAGGCCGGGAGAAGGTTGTTGTAAATGGGTTAGGGTTGCGGCATAACAACGGGAAAGTGGGGTGTGATGGAATGTGGCATGGTAGACCATACGGCACCACCGGACAAGGATGATGAGGCGGTGGGATATGATGCCTGGGGGTTTGTACGCAGGGGCGTGTGTGTGTGTGTGTCGTATAGTGTCGCATGTTGGATGCAAGTCCAGATTATCATCACACAATAGTACACATCCTGTAACGAAGGAAGTTGCTGTACAGTCCGATTGGTACAATCAGCAGCAGTGAAACAACATGTGAGGACACCCAGCTGTGAAGGGAAGATAACTGTTTTAGTGTACCGATAAATGTACAGTGCAACGCACGTAGTAGCGATGTCCAAGTTGACTGACCACCACACCTTTAATACGAATCCAGCCATACGAGGGGAAACGAGCATTGACATAGTTTCCTTGTGCACGATGGTATGGTGGTGTAAATATCGTTAATTCCGTTTGCAGCAGCAGAGGCGCTAAGAAACTTCCACACAAGGGGAAGCTATATCCTCAACATCTTCCATCGCTTCTTGTAAGGTAAGCTGTGTAGGCTATGTCGATAAACCCCGGTACGCCACATGATACTCCTCTTGCCATTTGGTGTTGGGAGCAGAGGAATGGGTGTATGCCCACCCCACTGCTAGCCGGTCAAAACGGGCACCAAAACCACCGTACATCAGCTCGGTAATGCAGATGCTGCTGCCCTATGCGGCGGCTCGGCTGCGTGCCTTTTGCGTGTGTGCCGCACCGCACATGTACACGGCACTTGGTGGGGAAGAACCGCTGGGGAAGCCGTCCTGCCGTACAGCTGAGTTACAGTCGAAGTCCTAGAAGTGCCACCCCCCTCCCCCCCATCACGACTACCGCACGCGTGTTTGGAGACTGCGGGAGGTAGGACAGCCCACACGAACGTGCGTAGGACAGCCCTGGCAGCACACAAAACACGCAAAAGGGGCACCAGCACATGTGACGCCCCCTTGCCGTCTCTGCCCTTGCCGCCCTTGCCGTCACACCGTCTCGCCCCCTTCCATCTTACCACACATACACACACGTGCAGGACTTCATCTTTCGGCAATCACAGTACGTTCCTCCTCGCGGCCAGTATTCTTAACACACACGTCCAGCAGCCTGTGTTGCCGTCCCTGAGGTGCTACACCTAGGCACATCAGTCCATCGTTTACCGCACCTCCGCAATCCTTACCTCCCCCCCTCCTCCTCCCCTCTCCCGTCCTTCCCCCCTCCCAGCCCCCATCACGCAATGCCGTACAGCTCCCCGTACTTGCCCCTCAGGTAGTTCAGGAACACCCCGGGCTGCAGCGGCGCCCCCGTCACCGCCACCATCAGCTCGTCCCCGCTGGCGGGCAGGGAACCCAGCGCGTGCACATTGGCGTTGAGCCAGGACTGGGGGGAGGGGGAGAAGGGGGGAGGGGGAGGGGTCAGAGATATACCAAAACCACAGGTTAGGACAAAGCAATGGGGATAGCGAGGGGAGGAGGGGGGGATGGGAAGTCGTGTTAGTGTGTGTGCGGTACGCGTGTTTTGGAGAAGGGAAGGGAAAAGCTCTCCCATGCACGTTATCCTCCACATACAGACACGCAGTTTTCTTAACACACCCCTCCCTCCCACCTTGAGTGGCTTGAAATCCCCCGCCGCAATCTTGTCCACCAGATCCGGGATATCCTTCGCGGCTGCGTCGTACAGTTGAGTGGCGTACATCGCCCCCAGCGTGTAGGTGGGGAAGTAGCCGAATGCACCCATGCACCAGTGCACGTCCTGCAGGGGGTGGGGTGGGTTGCATGGGGGGTGGGGGGTGGGGGGTGTCCGGTTTGCATGGGGGGGGTGCATGGGGGGGTGTCGGGGTTGCATGCACGTCGCCGTGCGCCTCCCTCCCTTCCAAAACCCCCTTCCCCGCCTTCCCATCTCCCCACCTCCCTCCCATCCCACCCCCAAACACACACACATACACAGGATTTCATCTGCCGGCAATCCAGTACGTTCCTACTCGCGGTCAGTCTCCTTAACCCACCCACACACCTGCAAGCACCCCTTTGCATCATCCGGGGGACACGCGCCCAGGTAGTCGCTCATGCGCCTGTTCCACTCGGCCGGCACCTGCTCCACCGCCAGCCGCCCCTCCATCAGGGCGGCCTCCAGCTCGTAGCGCAGGATAATGTGGAGCGGGTAGGTCACCTGGGGGGAGGGGGGGGGAACGGAGGGGTGGGAAAGTGAGGGAGGGTATATATTTTTTATATTATGGTCGACCGGGAAAGGGCGGGTTTGATTGCAATGTGTATACCGGAACTGCAAGCATTACTTCCGCGACTTGCAGAGACGCAAACAGGTAATACACACACGAATGCGCATACACGCGTACGACGACATGCATACACACACGCATATGTCGTACCTCGTCGCTCTCCACCCGGATGAGTGAGGGCTCCCGGATTGTGTTTTGCGACTCGTACAGCTGCTCCGGGGTGACGGCGGGCGGGAAGCGGTCGGGGAAACGCTCCTGTGGGGGGTCAAGGGGGGGAGGGAGAGGGAGGGAGGAGGGAAGGGTTTGGAGAGAGGGGGAGGAGGAAGGGAGAGGGGAAGCGCTTGCTTACAGAAGCTTTCCAAAGGCCTCTGGCGGCGTGCGGGAAGGGATACAGCATACAGGTTAGTGGGGCTGTGCACGCACGCTTGCTCACCATCGGGTCGTCCTAGGGTCCCTCCTCCCACCCTTCCTCCCTCTATCCCCATTGCTTTGCCCTAACCTGTGGTTTTGGTACATCTCTGCCCCGCCTCCCTCCCCCCACCCCCCCTCTCCCCCTCCCCGACCTCACCCTCAGCAGAGGCAGTAGGTACGTCGCGAAGGGCCGCCCCAGCCCCACCATCCGCTCCCACAGCAGGCTCTGGCTCTCGTGAACCCCCATGGACAGCGCGGAGGAAACCGGCAGGTCGGCCCAGGCGGGGGAGGCGGGGCGGCCCTGCTCGTACAGCGCATGGCCGGTCTCGTGGATGGCACCTGCGGGGGAAGGCGAGGGGCGGAGGGGAAGGGGTGATGGTGAGCTGGAAGGGTCCCCAAGTTGCACACACACTGTCACAGCTGCCAGCTCAGTTGCCCTGGCATAGGCATGCATGCACACGCACCCCCCCCCCCAACCCCCGCATGCACACCCCATCCCCTCCCCACCGCATGCCCCACACCCCCTCACCCGCACCCCCACACCCTCCCTCACCCGAGACCCCCTCCGTCACGTCCTCTTTCTTGAAGCGGGTGGTCATGCGCACATCGGTGGGGTGTGCGCCGCCCGTGAAGGGATGCACCGACACGTCCAGCCGGCCCTTGCTGGTGTCGAAACCCAGATCCAGCGCAATCTGGTTGCGGAGAGGGGAAGGTGCGGGGGAGGGGGTGGGGGTAAAGAGGAAGAAACAGGGTAGTAAGGAGGAGGGCGGGAGGCAGCGAAGGGGCGTGGCGGTTTGCGCTGAGCGGAAGGCGACGAAACCCGGCCAACCCCCAACCTCTAACCCCTACCACACGCATTCCCCCCAAACCCAAACCCAAACCCCCCCCAACTCCCCCCCCCACCTTGTTGCACAGCTCCGCCTGTACTGCGGTGTCGTACTCGCCCTCCATCCAGCTGCAGTCGATGTTGCGGCCGCGGGACTTGATGTCGGCAATGAGGGGAACCAGACCCGCACGAACCTGGGTAGGTGGGGGCAGGGGGGGTTAGTTGAGGGTGGGGGGTGAGGTACGAAAGGTAGGGAAGGGGAGCGGGGGAATGTGGAGAAGGGAAAAGGGGCCATGCATGAAGGCATCGTACAGCGGTTCCATGCACCCATTTGCACCCATGCCGTACATACGTACACATACGCATGCCGTACCTCTGAAAACACCTCATCCAGGCGAGCTGACGTGAGGCCCTTCTCGTAGTCGTCCAGCAGCACATCGTAGGCGGGTCGGCAGGGGTCGATGAGCCTGATGGGGGCGGAGGAGGAGGAGAGTGAGGGAGGAGGGAGTGAGTGACGGCGGGGAGGTTATGGAGGAAGGGCCAGCAAGCAGGGAAGGGAGCGAGAAAGCAGGAGAGGTAAAAAGGAGGAAACTGACCTGGCCCTATCCGCGGGGAGGGGCCGCGAACCCACCAACCCCCGTGCCTCACCTCCACCCCCTCCCCATTTCAAACTTTACCACGCCCCTTCCCAACCCCTCCCTGGCCCCCCCGCCTCACCTCGCCTTCTCCTTGCTGATGTCCACCCACTGCTGCAGGAAGGGCGCGAAGAGGGAGAAGTCCGCCGACTTGCGTGCCTCCACCCAGGCCTGCGCAAAGGAGCAGGCGGCAGGAGGCGGGAGGAGTTTCACTTGCTGCACCCCCCAGGCGGTGTTGCCCATATGTATGTAGGCTAGGCTAGGCTAGGCTAGGCAGTAGTGCACTGTTATGGTGATGTGCGCCTTGCAGTACGGCAACGTACGGCACTGTACGGTACGGCACCTGCAGCAACAGCAGCAGTACGGCACGAGTGTGCGCTAGTGTGCACGAGTACCGCACGTACCGCATATGCGTCCGTCTTGAGTCGTGCGATGCGTTGCGCCAGTTCCTTGGGCAGGGCGGTGGCCTTGACATACTCCTTGTGCGCGTCACGAACCACAGAGGACTGGGTGGGGGGGAGGGAGGGGGGAGGGGGGGAGGCGGGGAAGGGGGATGGTAGGATTAGACCAAGGGGGTAACGATGGGTGCAACCCGAAACGCATACACAGGCACACGGTCGGAGTACGTTCCTACTCGAGGCCAGTTTTTACAACACACACGGTCCGAGTCAGTGTTGGTTTAATAGCCTGTCATGTAAGCACTTCCAGATTGAGTCATCGTTCGCCTTTCGTTTTTGTAAAGGCTACAACACTCGCCTCCAACCCATACCCTAACCCTTCCACCACCAACCCAACCTCACCCCCCTACCCCTGCCCCCACCTGCACCTCACCCTCTCCACCCCCCCTGGCCCCACCTGCACCTCATCCAGGCTGCCCTTCGGAGCCGCCCGCAACACAGCCAGCAGCGCACCAAGCTGGGGGGGAGGGGAGGAGGGGAGGAGGGGGAGAAGGGGACAATGATTCGGAGGGCAGGGGGAGGGCATGAGGGCGTTGGGATGAGGGCGTGTGGGGGAGTGAGCAGAAGGCGCGTGCAGCAGCAGGATCTGAAAGATCGGAAGGCACTGGTAAGGAGACGACAGACATCAAAACACAAGGCAGGCTTTATGCATCGCATTCCTTTTTGTTAAATTAATAAAAGAATGTAAAAAACGTCGTGTGCCGTACCACCCCCTACCTGCGGATCTGTTTGTTTGTCGTACATCACCCCCGCCAGTGCGGCCTTCTGCGCACCTCGGCTGTCCGCTGAGCCGGCGGGCATCATCACCTTAGGGCAGGGCAGGGGAGGTGGGGAGGGGGAGGGAACAGAAGAATACTCAATGTGTTGAATAAAGGGATGCGGGCAGGGAGGGGGAGCAGGGAGGGAAGACAGCGCGGGGGACCGGCACAGATGATCAGTGATGAGGGGGGTCAAGGCCTGCGCGTAATCTCATACCCCCCTCAAAACACACACACGCCGCCCTCCCCTCCCCCCCCACCATTTCGTCCCAGTCCAGCAGTCCGCTGATGCCGTTGAGCGCGCTGAGCTCCCGCAGCCGCCCGCACAGCGCCTCGTAGGCCTGGGGGGGGAGGAGAGGGGGAGGGTGAAGGTGAGGGAACAGGGGTGGAGAAAGGGGTGGGGAAGGGGGTGAGGAAGGGGGCTTTCGCCGGTAAGGGGGCTTTCGCCGGTAAGGGGGCTTACCGGTAAGGGGGCCTTTACTGGCAAGGGGGCTTTCGCAGATAAGGGATCTTCCTTTCCTGCTAGACCTCCTTTTCTGCTAGACCTCCCCTCCCCTCCCCCACCAGCGAGGACACATGGGACTGTGCCCCACTCCTCATTTCTGTTTTCCCCACCAGCCCATTACCGCTCACAATTAGGCCGTTTGCCTTCCTTTTCCACTTCAACCCTTCCCTTTCGCTCCCTTTCAATCCCACCTGTGCAGGCTCCTGGGGCACGTCGGAGGGAGCAGCAGCAGCGGCGGCAGCAGCGCTGGTAGCGGCCATCCTAGCAGCGGTTAGCGGTACGGGTAGGTGGTTGCGCGGAGCGCGGGTGGTAGGGAAGGCGAGCTTGTAGTTGTTAAGGCCGTGTAGAGGGCTAGTGCTGTGGCTGAGGCCAGGTGTGCGTTGAAGAGAGGAAGCGGCGGAGGTGCGTAGGCCGCGAGCTTGGCGAGAAAAGAGGATGTGCCGAGCACTGCTGCAGCGTTGCAGTGCCGAGGCAAACATAAGGAATGTGGCAGTAACTAAAAATGCGGATGAATAGTAGTGGCTAGAAAATGCCGCTGCATTGTAAGCAAGCAAACAAAGGCTACCATGGAGCAAGCTGTGGCCCCGACCTATCCTATCCCTGGAGTAGAAGGCAGTGTCTTTCGTCACAGCAAGGCAGGCTCGTAGCTTACAAGGGTCTCTTCAGTTTACGCGCAATGCGCTCTATGTTCGTTCAGTTCCTCTAGGTTTTGCCCAAATGGCTGGAGGCATGCGGAAAACTGGCTTCGATTAATTGGCTGCTTGCCATAAGCACGTTCTTTGTTTTATGGTTTAATGCAATTAGATCATCCTAAAGGGTCGCTTCTCATAGCAGTCCAAGATAGTAGTGCAACGCTTAGAAGTGGACATGCGACAATGGGAACAATATTCTAGCAACCCTTCTTGGATGTCGTGTGTATCCGAGTTTTGATCATTTGCCGTTATGGACTTAGGTCCTCGTTTAACCTTGAAGTGAGTGCCTTTATGAGATATCCCATCGAGCAGATCTGCCGGGCCAGACTTGGTAGAAGCCAAGCGCGCCTTTGCCGTTATGAACTTGAATACATTTTTGTTAGGTTGAGCAGCTATGGATAGCTTGAACGAAATCCTGCGATTGGATTTGTCAGTCGATGCAACATACAAAGGAGCTGCTAAGTAGGAAAGACAAACAAAGCCATAGTACTTGCTTGTTACACAATTCACTTATTACTGCGACCGCAGTGATGGATAGCCTCTTGTCCTCCAACCGCCCTTCTGCCCGCTTAAGCTGATACTAGACATTTTAGCCCTCTAAGTTTCACTGTAACAAGAAGGTGCTATTGCCATTGCTAGTTGCTATTGGGGAGATTAAGACGTAAGGTCAGTGGTTACGCCTGGCCTTTGGGACCTTCTCGTCGTCTCGTGTCAAGTATTGTTCCGATCTATAAGTATCACTCTTTCCATAAGCCTTCTAATGCTCAGATCGCATGCGGACAGCAACTATCACCACAATCTTTGCCGGTTGGCCGCCGATTGCACTGCGACGCAACTTAACCACTAGTATGGGGTACGCCTCAAGCCTGCAGGAGCTTTGCGACGTTATAGCATCACATACCTCGTAAACACCATTCGCCGCTGCTGCGCCTTTCGCTAACGCCCTCCGCGCCAGTGCGCACATGTCACACGTCCCACCCTGTGCCCCACCCTGTGCTACGCTCCCCTCACGCTCCTCGCGCTCTTCATGCTCCTCAGGATAGCGTAATCAAGCAGCAGCAGCACCCCCACCATCTGCCTTGGTGCCTCGCGCCTCAGTTTACCCAACCACCCGCCTAGCCTAGGAGGGCGAGGAGCCACAGCAGGAGCAGCAACCCGCAGCAGCACTCGCCGCTGCAGCAGCGGCGAATCACACGCAGGTCGGCAGATCGGCCGCAGGAGCTGACGAGTCGCGGCTACCTGTGTTGGGAGTGAGGCTGTTGCAGCCTAGTCAACGAACAGTCTAGCAGCTAGCAGTTAGCGGTTACCGGTACCCAGCCAGCCACCATGGTGAAGCAGCGCATGAGCAGTGCGGATGTGGCGGCGGAGGTGGCGGCGCTGCGGACCCGCATTCTGGGGCTTCGAGTGGCCAACATATACGACCTGAACGCCAAGGTAATACATGCAGGGGGGCAGGGGAGGGCAGGGGAAGGAGGGAGGAAGGGGGGCAGGGGGTTGGGGGTTGGGGGGAGGGGTCGGAGGGGGCTCCTGGTGTCCTGCCCATGTCGCCCCATGTTCGTGTTGGCCCCTCTGTCCTGTCTTAACGTTACTTCCCTCCCCGCCCTACTTCAAGGTGTCTGCCGTCATTACACTGACTGCATGAGTCAGGATTTGGAATTGGGACTCCGTTGCTGCACTTATCTATAACTTTCCCCACCCTCCCTCCCCCCTCCCTTCCCTTTCCCTCTCCCTTCCCCCCCACACCAGACCTACGTGCTCAAGCTGGCCCGCAGCGGCGAGGAGGGCGAGAAGGTTCACCTGCTGATGGAGAGCGGAGCCAGGCTGCACACCACCAGGGTACGGCAGGGGAGGGGAGGGGAGACACTACGCACGCATGGGGAGGGACGGTCGGGAGGGTGGGGGCAAGCGGGCGGGAGGCCGTGTGATACATGGCATGTGCGTGTGTTTGGTGTCCGGCTACAACACACCCGCCCCCTCCCCCCTCACCCTTACCCTCACCCCACCTCCTCCCCACCCTCTTGGCTTGCCTCTCATCAACCCACGTACTCTCACAACCCCCTACCCTCACCCCCCTTCAGGTCCTCCGCGAGAAGGCCTCCGACCTGCCCTCTAACTTCACTCTCAAGCTGCGGAAGCACTGCCGTACTCGCCGAGTGGAGGCGGTACGGCAGCTGGGGGTGGACCGCTGCGTGGAACTGACCCTTGGGTCGGGGCAGGCGGCGGTGCACCTCATCCTGGAGATGTACGCGCAGGTGGGGGTGGTGGGTGCATGGATGGGGCTGCTTGGATGGGGGGGCTGCGTGGGGGGGATTACAGATAAGTGCAACAACACAGTCCCAATCCCGGATCCCGACTCATGCGTGTGTGTGTGTGGGGGGGGGGGGGGGGTAAAGCTAGCACTAAGCCGCAAAACGGGGCATGTTGGGATAAGGTGTTTGTGTGTTGAGAAAACTGGCCGCGACCCCCCACCCCCCCACCCCCCCAACCTCCCCCCCCCCAGGGTAACATCGTGCTCACCGACTCGCGCTACGAGGTGCTCACCCTGCTCCGCTCCCACCGCGACGACGCCCGGGGGCTGGTGGTCATGGCACGACACCCCTACCCCATGGCGGCGGTACGACTGGCGGCGAGGGTGACGCAGGGGCAGCTGCAACAGGCGGCGGCGGCAGCGGGGGGAGGAGGCATGAGCTATAAAGGCACGTGACTAGCGGTAGTAGGGTTGGGAGGGGTATGTGTGGTATGTGAGGTTAAGAAAAATGGGGTTAACGCTGCACGGCACGTCTGCACGTGCGTATGTGTACGACAAACACACACACACACACCGGCCCCCCTCCACCCCCCCACCCCCGCAGCCCTGCTATCTGCCGTACTGCCGTACGGCCCCACCATCGCGGAACACGTGGCCATGGACGCGGGCTTCGATACGGACGCTGCCGTACCGCTACTGCCGCCGACGGAGGGGGGTAGCAGCGCCGCCGACGCCGCCGCCACTGCCGGCATTACCGACGGTATTGGCGGTCTGGGTCTGAGTGGAGGTGGGGAGGAGCCGGAGGAAGGCGAGGAGCAGCTGCAATCACAACCGCAACCCCCAGCGTCAGCTTCAAGTGCCGGCAGCGGCGGTGGCGGGGTGCTCCCCGAGGCCGTGCAGCGGGCCCTGTCGGCGGCCTTGGGTCGCCTCGACGACTGGTTCGCGGGTCTGGAGGCGGGGCAGGTGCCTCAGGGTTACATCACGCTCACCCCGCCGGGGAGCAGCGCCAAGGCCGGGGGACGCAAGAACAAGAAGAAACAACAAGCAGGAGGAGGACAGCAAGGAGGACAAGGACAAGAGCCGCAACCCCAGCAACCCCAGCAGCAGCAGCAGCAGCCGCAGCCGATTGACCCCGCAGCTGCCGCGGCGGCGGTGGCGGCAGGCGAGCTGGTGTTTTCCGAATTCGCGCCGCTGCCGTTGTTGCCGTTCGCGGGGCAGGCGTGTCTGGTGCTGCCTAGCTTTGACGACGCGTTGGATGAGTTTTACAGCAAGGTGGAGGGGCAGCGGGCGGAGATTGCGCGGGCAGATGCGGAGCGGGCGGCCATGAGCCGACTGGACAGAATGAAAGCCGACCAGGTGGGGTGGGTGTGGAAGGAAGCGGGTGGGAGGTAGGGAGCGGGTGAAGAGGGGAGAGGGAAAAACAAGGGATAAGGGGCTAAGGGGCTAGGTAGCTGGTCTGATACGGCGTCTGATGTGGAGCCGGAAGGCAGGCGGCGGGTACGGCATGTGCTGCCAGAGGGGGTTGGTTCGTCCTCTTTGCCCATCCCCCCGTGCACCCTTATACACCTTAACCTCCTCCACCCCTCTTAACACATTTGGTATTCTTCGTTTCCCCCTCTCCCTCCCCTCCTACCCTCCCCCCGCCTGCCTCCAGGGCTCCCGTGCCGAGACGCTGCTGCGATCTGCGGAGGAGTGCGAGCTGAAGGCGCAGCTCATCACCTACAACCTGGGCGCGGTGGAGGCGGCGCTGGCGGCGCTAAACCACTCGCTGGCCACGGGTGGGAGGGGAGGGGAGCGGAGGGGGGGGGCGGGGAGTTGGGTTTTGAAGTGTGTCGGTGCGAGTGTGGGATAGTGGGATTGCGGGTGTGCTTGCTGGCAGCTGTTTGGAACGAGGGACGCTGCCAGCGTTTGTTTTTCGTTTTCGAGGGGGTATTTTTTTATCGCTGCTAGAGCGATAGAAATCGGGCATGGACATTCGCTTATCGCTTTCCCAACCAGCCAAGCCGAGGGGGTTCGGGGCTTATCGCTTCATAAGGCGGCCTCCTGGGGTCACATGTGCCCATAGCCCCCTAAACCCCGATGCGGAGGCGCTTCTCACTGGTCCCAGTGCCCTCCTGGACCCAAATCCCTGGCATGTAGAGGGTCTGGCACGGGGGGTGTGAGCGATGAGATACCCTGGGCGCAGACACCTCGTCGCTTTCCCACGGCCCTAGGACCCAAAACACCGCTCAAAAAAAACACTGGACGCTGGTAACCGGCACCGAATTGTGTTTGTTCGTGTTGCGTTCATCGTACGGCAGTAGCGCAAGACAACAAAACACACACACCACTCTCACCCCCTCCCCTCCCTCCCCCCCCCACAGGCATGGACTGGGGCGAGCTGGACCGCGTCATCCGTGAGGAGCGCCGCGCCGGCAACCCCGTGGCGGCCCTCATCGCCTCCCTGCAGTTGGAGTCGAACAGCGCGACCCTGCTGCTTGCCAACAGCCTGGACGAGACGGGGGAGGAGGGGGACGAGGAGGCGGGGGCCAGGAAGGCAGTCAAGGTATGGGGAGGGGTGTTGTTGGTTGCGGCGTGCGGCTTTGCTTGCGGTACGCGATAAGGCACACTTGAAGTAGTAGCTATACCTTCTGTACAAGGAAATGCTTCACACACCTGCTCTGTTCCTTACCCCGGGCCTGCTCGCCTCCACAAACCCCCTCCATGCATGCAACCCCCCCCCTCCATGCACCCCCTCCCCCCCCATCAGGTATAACTAACTAACTAACAATATAACTAACTATACAACAACTACAATTATTTGCTATCCCAACTATCCAGCGTAACGCGGATTCTGTTTCCGAATTAACCCCCAACAGGTATCCGTGGACCTCTCCCTGTCCGCCCATGCCAACGCCACCGCCTACTTCGAGCAGCGCCGCCGCCACCTGGCCAAGCACGCCAAGACGCTGGCAGCAAACCAGGCGGCGCTGGCGGCGGCGGAGAAGAAGGCGGAGGCGGCGGTGAAGCAGGTGGGGGTGGATTTGATGTATTGTGCAGGTGGGGGGAGGGGTTCAAAGACCATACCAAACCATAGGAGGCCACAGGTTAGGGCAGGTTAGGGGGAGGGGGGGAGGAGAGGATCAACCGACCTCCCGCCGCCCTCTCAATTCTTCATTCCGCAAATTTACCACAGTGGCCATACCATTACCATTACCGCTAGCATATTCATTACCATCACCACTACCAATACCACATCCTTCCATAGCCCCCTCCCCCCCAACTCGTCTGCTTGTTTGCTAGCATCATTAAACTCCTTGGGATTCTTCTTCCCCCCCCTCCCCCCCTCCCCCCCCCCCCAGGTCCATTGTTTTTAGCTGTTATTTCACTGACGCCGCATGTTTTGCACCCCCTGCATATCTAGATCATCATACCCATACTGCGCTTGCGCTAAATTAAGCATGCTCGTCCCATGCCGTACTTCGCATCGCCGCCTTTCGCATAAACACTAACTCTCGGCATAGTCCCGTCTCTTTCATCCTGATAAGCCAGCCATCTTCATCGTCATACAGCCTGCGTCGATATACAGCGCAGCTCGCAGCACCAGCACAGGGATGCATGCCTGTCTTCTGTTCGCTCGTCGCGCCGCCTTCTTGTGTCTCTGGACGCTTTTCGCTCACTATTAACGAAATTTGGTACGTCTTCGTTGCACAATTTTCCCTTGCTACGCAGGTTAGTCGGGTTCGTTCGTGGGTGGGCTGGGCTAAAGTTCGACCCAGGGGTCACTTGCGCGGGCGGGCGGGTGGGATGTTTAGGTGCACACAGCCGCATACCAGCCACAGCTTACAGCGCACTGGCGCTCAGCAATGCAGTGGAGCTCAGACGGCAGTTTATAGCTCGTCAGTAATTCGTCCAATGATATGATCTCAGCACGGCCGCCAGCTTATGGAGCTTTATCACGGTTTGTACTTTGTGTGCTGCTACTAACCCAACGAATTTGACTATGCGCAATCCTAAAATCCAGCTTAATGCGGAATCTTCATCCATATTACCCCCCCAGGTCCGCTCCGCCCCCGCCGCGCTTCAGCCCGTGCGCAAACCCATGTGGTTCGAGCGCTTCCACTGGTTCGTGAGCAGCGAGAACTACCTTGTGGTGTCGGGGCGGGACGCGCAGCAGAACGAGCTGCTGGTGAAACGACACCTGCGGCGGGGGGATGTGTATGTGCACGCGGAGCTGCATGGTGGGGGGGAGAGGAGGGGGCGGGGGGGGGGGAGGGGGGATGTGTATGTGCACGCGGAGCTGCATGGTGGGGGGGGGGAGAGGAGGGGGCGGGGGCGGGGGAGGGGGGATGTGAAACATGGAGGGGTAGAGAAGGAAACTAACGAGCTGTATGACATGGCGGGCGGGCGCGGGGGAGGAGGCGGGGGGAGGAGAGCGGGCCCAACCGCCCCAGCCCAGCCCATCCTAGGCTACACCCAAGACCTTGTATAGCCGTTCCGGGGGTGCTACACTACACATGGGAAAAGGAGGGGGGGAGAGCAGTGAGGAAAGGGGCGCGTCACGTGACAGGCGCTGCATCTTCGCCATTACTGGTAACATGCCCGTAACGGTTTCCGCTCCCCTTTCCACCCTCACCTCCCTCCCCCCTCCCCCTCCGCCTCCCCCCCCAGGCGCCTCCTCCACCATCATCAAGAACCCGCAGCCCGACCAGCCCATCCCGCCGCTCACCCTGCAGCAGGCGGGGGCGGCCTGCGTGTGCCGCTCGCGCGCCTGGGACAGCAAGATCGTGACGTCGGCTTGGTGGGTTCACCAACACCAGGTGGGGGAGGGGAATGGGGGGAGGGATGGGAGAAGGGAGAGGGAAGGAGGGGGGAAGGACGGGAGGGGGAGGGAAGGGTAAAGAGGAAATCACTCCCTTGTCAAGGCTAGGGAAAAACAAACTCCCGGACGGCCCCAGGCAGCAGCAGCATGAAGAGGCAGCGGCACTACTCACCTCAGCAGTGAAAAGACTTCTTCGACCCTTAGCCCCACCCTCCCGACCCCCCCCCCTTCGTGCGTCACCGCACGCACCCGTATTGTAGGGCTTCCCATCCAATCCACATACAGGTACTTCCCCACCCCCAAACCACTTTCCGAATGCGTTGCCCTAATCTGTGTTTTTGGTATATGTATCCTGACTCCCCAAACCCACGTACTTCCCCCCCAGGTCACTGCATGAGTCGGGAATCGATATGGAATTGGGACTCGTTTTCACTTAGATAATATTTCCCCCGCCCCCCCCCAGGTTTCCAAGACCGCCCCCACCGGCGAGTTCCTGACCACCGGCTCCTTCATGATCCGCGGCAAGAAGAACTTCCTGCCGCCGCAGCCGCTGGTGATGGGATTCGGCTTCCTGTTCAAGTGAGGGGGGAAGAGGGGAGGCAAGGGGGGGGAAGGCAAGGGCAGGGAGGGGGGAAGGGGGGCCAGGGAGGGGGAGAGGCGGTGGCGGGGGATGAGAGGAGGGGCATGAGAGGGACATGGCCACACAGCCCTGGGGGACCCACAAAACACATAGCAAACCAAGCGCACCATCACCTCACATGGCGGCCCCCTAGCCCCCCTACTCCACTCCCACCCACCGCCTGATAACTACGCGGCGCCTAATGCTGCAATACACGTATACACCCCCACCCCCACGTACTGGCTTGGCTAATTCGGGCTGGGCGGGTCGGGCTGGCTCACATGTTGCAAACCATGATGACGCCTTATCCCTCAGTCAGTTAGCTGCTTCCTCTTTGCCCCACTAACCCTCCTCCACACAACCCCCCCCCCCACCTCCCACCTCCCCACCTCCCCCAGGCTGGACGACAGCAGCATCCCCGCCCACTTGGGCGAGCGGGCGGTGCGGGGGGCGGACCCGGATGCGGCCTCCGTGATGACGTCAGCGGTGGCGGGGGCAGGGGGCGGGGGGTGGCTGGCAGGCGGGCGTGCGGCCGGAGATGGGGGCGAGGAGGAGGAGGAAGGTAGGGAGGGAGGGGGGGAGGGAGGCAGGGAAGGTTTGGGGGGGTGGAAGCGAGCTGGCGGGGGGTAGTTAGGAAGAGCGGAACTCCTACGTACCGGTATGGCGGCATGGGCTTGGGGTCCCTGGCTGGGAGGGGGGGTAAGAGGGCAGTGCGTTACAGCGCACGTAGCAGTTGTTGTTGTTGTGCAGTCGTGGCGCAGTGGTCGTTGTTGTTGCAGCACACTGCTTGCTCGGGGGGGGGGGGGGGGGGGTCGCACATGAAGCCACCTCCCCGGTCTTCCTCCGCCATGATTGTACGAAGATGCGGGGGTGCACCTCGCTCTGCTCTGATCTTCGTTCATCATGGTTTTGTGCTCCGCAGTTGACATTCCGGAGGAGGAGGAGGAGGAGGAGGGCGGCGGTAGCGACGACGGGGAGGGTACCCTTGCTAGCGGTGGCGGCGCTAGCAGCAGCAACCTGACCCACCAAGCCGTGACGGCGGCAACCAACCGCCGTACAGCTGCCGCCGCCGCCGCCAGCAGCGGCGCGGGTACGACAACAACGGGCCCGTCGCCGCTGGATCGCTTCTTAGAGGGGTCGTACGAGAGCATGCCGTACGGCGGCGGCGGCGGAGCCTCCACGGCGGCGGCGGCGGCGGCAGCGGCGGCGTTTGAGCGTTACGGGCTACGTCATGTTACGGGGGACGGGGTTGAGGAGGGCGAGGAGGAGGAAGGAGGAGGTACGGGAGCTGCTGGCGGCTCGGGACGTGCTGCGGGTGCTGGCGGAAGCGGTGGCGGTGGCGGAGGTGGCGGTACGGGTCGGCGGCACCTGAGCGCCAAGGAGCGAGCATTGCTGAAGAAACAGGGAGGAGCAGCCGGTGGAGGTGGCGGAGGCGGCAGGGTGGGAGTGAGTACGGCAGGTGGTGGCGACGATGAGGAGTATACCATTGTGGCTTCGGACGCCCCAGCCGCGGCGGCCGCTGCTGCTGCCGCCGCTAGCGTAGGAGGAGGAGGTAAGGGTGCTGGCGGTGGCGGCGGCGGAGGTAAGACCGGTGCCGGCGGCGGCAGCAGGGCGCAGAGCATGACGGCAGGGGGTGCCGCCGTGGCTGCTGCTGCTGTTGCGAAGGGTAACGGCCAGCCGCAGCAAGCACCGCAGCAGCAACAGAAGCAAAAGCAACAGCAGCAACAAACGCAGCCACAGCAGCAGGGCAAGGGCGGTGGAGGCGGCGGCAAGGGCGGCAAGGGCGGCGCCCCTCCCGCCGCTCCCGCCCCTCCCGCGCCGCCTGCCTCCCAGCGGGGTAAGAAGGGCAAGCAGGCCAAGCTGAAGGACAAGTACGCGGACCAGGTGAGGCGGACGTGTTGGGGTTCGGTACGGCAGGCCAGGATGGCAGTTCGTTCTCGGCGGTTTACGCCTCGCCTGCCTTTTCACCCCGCATTCGCCCCCTACCTCTCCCTCTCCCTCTCCCTCCGTCACACATTGGGTATCCTTCTTCCGTCAAAGTCCCCCTCTGTCAATCCTCCCCCCTCCCCGTCAGGACGAGGAGGAGCGCGCCCTGGCCCTGGCGGTGTTGGGCAGTGCGGGTGCCAAGAAGAGCCGCACGGAGCGGCGGCAGGAGCGCAAGGAGCGGCGGGAGGCGGGGCGGCGGGAGGCGCGGGCGGGGGTGGTGGGCGGGGATGAGGAGGAACGACAGCAGGTGGGGCAGGCAGGCGGGTAGGCAGGGGGGCAGGGGGGAGCTGTCCCTCGTGTAGCGCAAGCAGGATTGTATGTTGCAAGCCCGCCCGCCCCAGCCCGCGTACTGGCTTCGCTCTTTCGGGCTGGGCGTGTCGGGCTGGCTCACATGTTGCAACCCATGTTGACGCCTTATCCCTCAGTCAGTTAGTTGTTTCCTCTTTGCCCCAGCCCACCCTGCCCTACATGCCATGCCCCAGCCCACCCTGCCCTACATGCCATGCCCCAGCCCACCCTGCCCTACATGCCATGCCCCAGCCCACCCTGCCCTACATGCCATGCCCCAGCCCACCCTGCCCTACATGCCATGCCCCAGCCCACCCTGCCCTACATGCCATGCCCCAGCCCACCCTGCCCTACATGCCATGCCCCAGCCCACCCTGCCCTACATGCCATGCCCCAGCCCACCCTGCCCTACATGCCATGCCCCAGCCCACCCTGCCCTACATGCCATGCCCCAGCCCACCCTGCCCTACATGCCATGCCCCAGCCCACCCTGCCCTACATGCCATGCCCCAGCCCACCCTGCCCTACATGCCATGCCCCAGCCCACCCTGTCCTACATGCCATGCCCCAGCCCACCCTGCCCTACATGCCATGCCCCAGCCCACCCTGCCCTACATGCCATGCCCCAGCCCACCCTGCCCTACATGCCATGCCCCAGCCCACCCTGCCCTACATGCCATGCCCCAGCCCACCCTGCCCTACATGCCATGCCAGTCACTGGCTGGGGGTCCCCAATGGTTCGCGGGTTGGCGGGCTTCGGGTGCGCTGGGGTAGGCAGCTAGGGGTCTTCTTCCTTATACCCCACGTAGTGGTAGTTTCTTTTGACGTATCCCTTCCTCCTCATTTACACGCCCCCCCCAGGCCATTGAGCGAGCCACGGGCAAGCAGTTCGTCCGCTCACAGCAGCAGCAGCAGGAGGCGGATGACAGCGCTTCCACAGAAAGCGCGGCGGAGGCGGCCGGCAGGGCATCAGAGCCTGCGGCTGCGCAGGAGGAGAAGAGCAAGGAGGAGGCGGGCGAGGAGGACGGCGAGGAGGAGGAGGTGCAGCCGGACGCGGGCGCAACTGGTGCGTGTGTGTATTGAACAGCAGGGGCTCACAGGCTGTGTGTGTGGTAGATCTTGCCGAGAAACTTACCGGTAGCTCCCATGATGACCTCGTGGGCTCGGCAGCACTACCCGCCCCGGCCCCGGCTCCCACCCCCCACCTCCGCCTCCACCCGCTTCTTCCTCCCTCCCTTCTCCCCCCGCCCTCAGATGCTGATCGCGCCGAGATCGCTGCGCTGCTGGCTGAGGAGCAGGAGGGCCCCGGCCTTGGCGAGGAGGAGGCGGCGCGGCTGAGTGTGCTGGACAGCCTGACGGGGGTGCCGCGGGGGGAGGACCTGCTGCTGTTCGCGGTGCCGGTGTGTGGCCCCTACAGCGCGCTGCAGAGCTACAAGTACAAGGTCAAGGTCACGCCAGGTGGGGGGTGGTGGTGGTAGGCAAGATGTGGGGAGTAGGGCTTGGGGTGGTGCGCGTTCTGCCTACTACTACTACTACTTCACATGCTGGGATGACCGGAACAGTCACACGGCCGTGCAGGGCTGCTTAACACCTGCCTAACATTCTTGTGCGGTCTGCGCAATCTCCCCCCTCCCCGTCTTTTCCTATTTTTACCCCAATCTCCTCCTCCTCCTCCCCCGTCCCCGCCTTCCCCTCCTCCGCAGGCACCGTCAAGAAGGGCAAGGCAGCGCGGCAAGCCATCGAGCTGCTGACCCGTGGGTCGGAGGTGGCGCCTCGGGAGCGCGACACGCTGCGTGCCATCCCTGAGATGGAGTGCATCAACTGCCTAGTGGGGCCGGGTGTGAAGCTGAGCATGCCGGGGTTGCAGAAGCTCAAAGCGGACGACAAGAAGACGAAGAAGGCGCGGGCGCAGGCGAGGGTGGCTGGGCAGCAGGGCGGGGTTGGTGGTGCGGAGTGATGGAGGGGGGGTTGCTTGTTGTTGCGGGGCGTTTGATGCATTGGTGGGGCGGGCTAGGATGTGTGGGGGGAATTGGGAGGGCAGCTGGCTCGTTGTTTAGGGGTGTTGGAGGAGTTTGAGGAGGAAGAGGAGGAGGGGCTTAGGCGATGTGGGTTGGGACTAGGAGTGGATGAGTTTTTGGGTTTGGGGCGTTACAGCCACAGAGAGGGTAAAGGCTAACGGGGGGGACGCCTGGCAAGGGTACTGGCGAATGATGCAGTCCAAATTCTCTAGTACCTAGCTGGGTGTGGGGATTACGCTGGCTGCATTCCGAGATAATAGCCTTTACGTGGTAGGCATTGTAGCATAAAACCTGTAAGGGGCTACGTAACATCGACATGTTGCTGTTAGCTGTCAGGCACAGAGGCCATTTTACTTGGTTATGGCTGTTTCCTTGGCCACGGCCATACTTCCTCAAGTGCAAGGTCCGACCAGTTTGATATGAGAACAGGATGCGCGCCAAAGAAGATGCTGCTTAGCCAGTTCGGTCTCTTTTGCTGTTTTGCAGTGTCACACGGGTGAAGCTCCGGGTTCGAACCGAAATCCTCTTTTTATCCTTCGGCCCACCGGCGCCGTGGCTTCTTGTCCCGCACGCACGGAGCAACCATGTCATTTGCTGATAACTAGCATGGTAGCATGGGCAGCTGGGGTGTCGGGAAAGCCTTGGAGAAACTAACTACGCGAGGACGCCAATGCGTAACGTAACTAGGATAAGAGGTAGTCCACAGACCATACTACATTATGTGACAAATGCGCAAGAATAGAGCACCAGCAGATGCACGTTCCAAAGTCCATGGAGATGTGAAGCAAGGGGCCATATGCCGGTATATACTTTAGAAACGTGTCATGTTTGAAAGGCCATAATTGCATGACTTCAGGTGCCTTCAGCGACTTCAAGCACGGGCACAGGGATTTTTTTCTGTAGGGCCCTTTGACTCCGTACGCGTGTCTAGTCCGTCAGGTAGCGTCAAGTGAAAAAGGGAATACTTTTTACGTGTAACCGAATTGACACAGCTTACAAGAGCAGCGATACATTAGAAATTCCGTCGCCAGCTTCCTTTGCATGGAGAAGTGGCGTCCGGACGGCGGCGAAAGCCCGACTATGTCGGATATAAACACGGAAGCAAGTTCTGGCTGTGAAGATATACTAGATTACGAGGCAACTTCTAGTCGGCGTGGCACTTCTGCACCCAGAGGGGCAACTTCCGGGTCTCATGGAACTTCCGGTTCTGCGTCTCATGGTGACCCAGCACGAACGCCATACAAGGCATGGAGCAAAGAGGCAAGTCTGAATTGTTGTTTGCTGCCATATTCTTTAGCCCACACGGTGTCGTGGCAGGAACCTGTCCTGTTCATTATGGAAGCATGGTGTGAATTCCGCAAGCGCCTTTCATTCTTAGGGCATTGCAACGTTGATGCATATCCCTGTGCAAGCCGCGTCGGTGTATGGTCTGTGGTAATAGCGAGACAGCTGCTCTGCACCTCCCCGCATTCCCGACAAAGTTTCATAACGAAAACACGCTGCTTACGGCTCAACATTTGTTAAGCACACTTACGCGAGTACCACTGGTGGACAGTGTTTCGGGTGGACGTCTTGGAAAGTTTGCAATACGTCTGCACACATGCGCTGCCCGAAACCAGCGTTGCGCGAAGTTGCGAGAGCTGGAGTCCCGCCATATGTCCCGATGCATCTGAGTCTGAGCTACGGAGCATCCTGCTAGTTTCCGCACGGTATCCAGGCTGCGTCAGCATCAGCTGTGATAGCACCGATACTCCAACGCATGTGGTAATCTGCCATAACGCAGGAAGATGATCAATTACGAGCTTTGGTCGAGACCCATGGCGCAAACAAGTGGACAGAAATAGCTGCCAGCATGCCAGGACGCACGGGCAAGAGCTGTCGCCTCCGGTAAGCGCACCTATGCGAAGCTGCCCTTGACCGGGCTACCCCTGTGGATGGATGGTGGCAGCAGAGCTACAATTAATCCCTGAGGGCACCGGCTTTGACATCTCACCGCCTTCCACCGACCAAGCTCTCTGCGCTCCCTCCTGACATGTTAGACCCACCCAGCCCCCGGCTCGCCTCATCAGGACCTGACCCACCATCGCTCCTTTTCCATACCCTCCACCCGCATCCTCCTCCCTCAGGTGGGTCAACCAGCTGCGAGGAGACCTGCTGATGGGTGCCTTCACCCCAGCCGAGGACCAGCGGATCGTGGAGATGCAGGCTACGTACGGCAACAAGTGGAGCGCCATTGCTAAGGAACTACCCGGCAGGTGAGTTACCGGGGCTGCCGTCTGTCTGTGGCCGCACGTGCTGTGGTGCCCGGTTCCTGTTGCCATGCCAGGTGGTCGTGCTCCTGCTGTTTGCTTACTTTTCCGTTTCCTGCCCTCCGCGTGCTCCATCTCATCCCTCCTCCACAGGACCGACAACATGGTCAAGAATCGATGGAACTCCTACCTCAAGCGCCGCGTGGAAATGGGTCGGGCCATCGCCCTGTCCCTCGGCTTGGGTTTAGGTCTGGCCCCTAATGCCACGGTCGTTGCGACGCCTTCCGGGCAAGCCGTTGCTGCAGCGGCCGCGCTGCAATCCCAGCCTGAGCCACACGCCCAGCTGCAGCATAGGCCTCCGGCTGCCGAGAAGACGGCGACGACGACGCAATCTCCGCGGCGGCGCCGCAGCCATGACGGCTGGTCGAATGCCGCCGGCGAGGGCCGGGAGCGGCAGCGGCGCAGCATCGAGCACCAGGTGTGCGGCCCGACAGCCAGCGCCCCGGCCATCTCCAGTGTCTCGGGTGGGGGCCGCAGCGGCGGGCGCCGACGCAGCAGCAGTCGAGGAGCCGGCAGTCGTCATGGCGGCAGCCGGGCGTCGGGTGACGGTAGCCTACCGCCGGCGATGCCTAACGCAGGTGTAGCGGTCATGCTCCCAAGCGTCAACCCTGTGACTGCGTTGGTGGGCGGCGGGACTGCTGCTGCTGTGGCCTGCAGCAGCCCCTTTGCAGCGCTCTACACGGCTGTTGCCTCGGCACCCCAGACCGCAGCCGCCCTCCCGGCGCCCGTGGTTGCGGCCTCGGCGCCGTCTCAGCCGGTGGCAGCGGTACCCGCGCTGGCGCCGGCGCCCCTGCCGTACACCTTGTGCCACCCGGCGCCTGTCCTGGGTGTGCCTGGCTTCATGCCCAGCACTGCGGGAGCCGCGGGGGCTGTGCAGGCCAGCGTCGCGGGTCTGTCGCCAGCCCCGTCTGCAGGCCCCACGCAAGCTGCTGCCCCTGCTGCTGCCCCCAGCGGGTACCCAATGGGATCGCTGCTGCCGGGCGGCATGGCGTCAAGCTCGGCTCAGACACCGCCCCCGGCACCGCTGGGTACCTCCGCTGCTGGCAACACCCCACACAGTGCGACCCCAGCCCCCACACCACAGCCACAGCAGCTTGGCATGCAGCTAGGTGGCTTTGGAGGCGTGACGGGTGTTGCCGTGAACTACACCCCCGCGCTGCCAGTTAACGTTGCGGGCTTTGGTAGCGTCTCGGGCGCGCAGCTACCGCCGCTGCAACCTCAGCAGCAGCAGCACGTGCTTGGGCAGTGGATGCAGCCGATGGCTCCGGCACAGCCCCCGGCAGCAGCAGCATCTGGGTTTGCGGGTACACAAGGGACACAACAGCAGCAGCCGCAGCAGCCGCAGCAGCAGCTGGACGCTCGGGCGGCCCTGCAACAGCAACAGCAGCAGGTGATGCCTCCCCCGCAGCCACAGCAACAGCAGCCGCAGGTGTTGCCTGCGCCTCAGCAGCCCCAACAGACCCAGCCACAGCCGCAGATCCAACACCCCCAGCTACTGCAACACCCACAAATGCCACAGCTGCAACAATATCAACCACAGCAGCCCTTGCCGCAACAACAGCCCCACATGTTTGAACCTCAGCAGCAGCAGCAGCTACAGCATTCGCAACTGCAGCAGCAACCGGTGCAGCAGCAGCAGCAACAATTGCCGCAGCTGCCGCAGCAGCAACCCGTGCAGCAGCAGCAGCAGCCGCTTCCACTGACGTTGTTGGCAAACTACGGGCATGCGGCTAGCCTTGCGCAACCCCAACCTCTTCCTCAGGCCCCCCAAGCCGCACTGCAGCCGCAGTCCCAGCCCTCGCAGCCCCAGCCCCAACCCCAACCCTTCATGCCACAGCCACCACCACAACCGCAGCAGCAGCAGCCTGCGCCGGCACCACCCGTGCTGCAGGTGGAGCGGGATGGCATCAATGCGCAGCGGCTGGCCCTGCTGCAGCAGTACTTCATGAAGCACCTGCCGGCGGAGCAGGCCGCCATTGCTGCCGCGGCCGCGCTGAACCTCTTCCACCAGACGGCAGCGGCAGAGCAGCGCATGGCTGCAGCGGCAGTGCAGCAGCAGCAACCAGCCCAGCAGCCGGCGGCTTCCACCTCGGCCTTGGTGGGGGCTTCGCTGCCGACACAGGCAGCAGCAACGGCGGCGGCGCTGCCGCCACCGGCACCCTCTGCGGCGCCGGCGGCATCAGCGACGGCTGGTCTGCCTCCCTTGCACTCCGCTTCCGCCAGCAGGCCTCTTGCCGCCCCGCCGCCATCCATGCCCAAGCCCATCGTCTCGGCCTTTTCCTCCCTTAGCGCGCAGCGTGGAGACGCCGCTGCTGCTGCTGCCGCCGACAGCGCGCTTCCGAACAAGCGAATGCGGACGTCCCTAGAGCGCCGTGCCACGGCGCCAGCTGAGGCGCTGAACGCGCTGGAAATCCGCTCCGACTCCCCGCGTCGCCCCTTGGCTCGCACGTCCGGGCTGGAGCGTGAGCCATTGGAGCCCTCCCTCATCGCGCTGCGTCATGCGGGCTCGGGATCCCTGCGTAGCACTGGAGGGCTGGGCCTTTCCCGGCGTGGCTCCCTGGAACCAGGATCCGAAACCAGCTCTGGATCCAGTCGCGGCCCGCGGGTGACCCTAGCCAGCCGCTTGCAGCAGCTAGAGCAGCAGGAGCAGGCAGCTGCGCAAGCAGCAGCGGCTGCTGCGGCCGCCGCCGCGGCAGCACAAGCTGCGGCCGCGGCTGCGGCTGCTGCAGGCCCAGCTTCCGGGCTGCACCATGCGATGCCCGGCAGCGGCGGGCTGCACCTTTCGGAGCTGCTGCTGGCGCCGCCCATTCGGGAGCACCGCACCCCGCAGGAGCTCTTCATCATGAGCTCCGGCTCCACCAGTTCCAGCGGCTCCCCGCCGTCCATACTCAGCGAGCCGCAACAGCAGCCTCAGCAGCAGCAGCAGCCGATGTTGGTTCCTCAGCCAGCACCTACCTCGGCACCTGGTTCAGCAAGGGAGGCTTCTTCAGCCGCCGCTGCTGCCGCAGCGGCGGCGGCAGCGTCCGCTGCCATCAACGCTGCGACCTCTGCAGTGGTTGCCAACGGTGGGGGGGGTTTTAGCAGCTGGCCGCTGCCCTCCGACTCCTCCGCGCCTGCCAGCTCTGGCTCGGGCGAGACGGGCAGCCCAGGCGCCATGTCGCAGACCCCGGAGACGCAGCACACCAGCATGCAGGCTCCCTCGCCGCCTGTTCCTTCCTCCACGCCGGCACCGGCAGGCGGCAGCATGGACGTGCTTGCAGCACTGGGGCTTAACTTTTCCAGCATGCCGCCTCCGCCACCGCCGATGGCACCGCCGCCGCAACCCGCTCCCCAGATGTCCATGCAGCCGCAGCCGGCAGCGGCGGCCCAGATGCAGCAGCAGCAGCAGGAGCCCCGGCCGCAGCAGATGCTGCACGCCAGCAGCGGTGGCAGCATGGCCGCTCACATGGCGCCCGGGGCGGCGCCAACAGCGACCACCGGCGTCTACCCGCAACCACAGAATCCCAGCACGCAACAAGGTCACCACTACCACCACCAGCAGCAGCTGCATCAGTTTCAACCACAGCAACCACAGCAGCAGAGCATTCCTCAGCAGCCGCAGCAGCAGATGCAGCAGCACCCTTTCGCTACACTGCAGCCGCTGCCCCAGGCCGCTACCATGGCTCAAGCTGCACCTCCGACTGCTCCGGCGCCCGCGGGTGGCGCTTTGGACTCGATGGTCTGGGAATCCTCGGGACAAACCCACAACACCACGGGGGCTCAGGCGCCGCAGCAGCAACCCAGCCTTGAGAGGCAGCAAGGCTGGGGATCCATGGCGCCCACACCCGCTCCTCCCCCAGCTTCCCCCTTCACTGCCGCCGCGGCGGCGCATGGAGGCAGCGCCGACCCCAGTGTCGGTCCTGCGGGGGGGGCTCCCCGTGTGCACTTTGAACTGCATGTGCACTTTGAGCAACACTCGCACCAGCAGCTGCAGCTACAGCAGCAGCCTTCTCTGGGGCAGCAGCAGCAGCACCAACAGCAGCAGCTGCAGCTACCACAGCCACCACAGGAACAGCAGCAGCAGCAACAACAACAGTCCTCACTTCTTCACCACAACGACTCCATCTCGGCCTTCAACACGGCTCACGACAGCGAGGCTCTGGACTTTTTGGATCTGGGCGGTCCGGGCCTGCACCTGCTGGGCGGGCTGCTTGCTGACTCGACCAACAACATGAGCAACCCGCTGGGCATCCCCACACCGGTGGACATGTCTCCGCTGACTGGCAGCATGAGCGACCTGGCTGCGGCTGCTGGGGGCGGCGAGGCGGTCGAGACTCTGGCGCCACCATCACAGCAACAGCAGCAGCACCAGCTGCATCATCATAGCCACCACGACCATCGTCATGCAGCCCATCTCCATCACCACCAACAGCACCACCAACAGCAAGCCAACCAGCTGCTGCAGCAGCACCAGCAGCATGAGGGGAGTGAAGGCGGTGGCGGCGGTTGCGGTGGCAGCGATGCGGACGTGGGGCATGCGGCGGCGGCGGATTGGCACCTGGAGAGCTTTATGGACGAGGATAAGGCACACATGATGCCGTGGACTCCTGACCCGCATGCCTGCATGGGCGCCGACGGTGGGGGTGGTTTGGTGGGCGGGTGCGGAAATGGCGGCGGTCATGGCCACGAGGAGACTGGTAGTGTTGGTGGTCTGGCGGGCGGCTTTGGCGCCCTTCACCGGTGTTAATGGCTTGGCATGGGAGGAGGATGTTGATCAGGCACAGGCGCCCAAGAGCGCGGATGATGTTTTTGCGGTTTGCAGCAATATTCCTTAAATAGTACTTGTATTTGGCATATCGTTGTGGTTTCGGGTGTGGATGCCCATCGTTGGTTGGCTTGACACATTGCGTATTCTTGGGTGTCGGCGTGAATGGGCCGGGGCAAAGGATTTGTAGACGCCATAGCGTTAAAACTACTGGGGTAATAAAGCGCTGGCGGTTGGGGAAGCTGGTCTGCGGTGGCGCCCGCAACGGGCGTTTGCGTTCTCCCAAAGCGGGTAAAGCGTTTCGCTGTTTGGCTGTTTATTCTTTGGTTTATTCCGGGTTGTTTGGTCTTCAACCCACGGCCTTTCTGGATGCTGGCCTGTCAGGTAAAGCGGCTCACAGGAACGCAATAAGCCATTGCTGAAGGGTTTCCATCTTTAGTTTGTTTTTTGCTTGGGAATTACAACTCAAGTACGATGGTAATGGTTGGATAAATGGATGGATAAATGCGGTGTGCCCGTGCCGGGCCCGTCACGACATAAAAAAAGCTGCCAAGCAACGTTCAAGCGGATGCGCGCGACGTTTCACCTTTTTTTGTTTAACCGGGTTTTGATCGCGTTTTGGTTCTCGATCGATGGCTAGGTAGGAGTAGCAGGAGGAGGAGGGCGGTGGCTGTCTGGGGCTTGCATGGATTGCATAAGCCCGGTGGTTGGGAGAGCTCAAGAGTGCGTAGGTTTGTGCGGCCCATCCCGTCACTGGATGAAAGCTGCAAGTGGTGCCTGGTTTTGGGGCATGCAAGAGGCAAGAATGGATAATGAGGGTTGGTATGGCATTCGGGTGGCTATCTTTGCTAGTGAGTAATCGGCTAGTAGGTTGCAAAGACAAGGCCGTATGCCAAAGGGGCGGGACGTGCGCAGGGGGCGTGCCGCAACATGCGACGTCTACCTGGCTCGTCCGGTTCCGACACCTGATTATGGACGACCATTGCTGTCAAGTTAGCGATCGCCGCAACGGCACGTCTTGGTTTGTCGGGTACCCTTCTGACTCACTGCGCATCCGTGGTTTCTTCTCGTACGTACGGCACCTAAGGCATGCGTGCACGAGCGCTATGCCTTTCAACAAGCCGTTGCAGCGTGCGGACTGCTGCTGCTGTTGCCCGGCGTGACGCAACTTCATGCGTAGCTGGGCGGATGGTTTTGTCGAAAGAGTGTGTGTTTCACAGGTCTTGCTGCTATCGAATGTCGGGAGTGGATGGGTGAGACTTGCTGTCTTGTTCGGCGAATGCAACAGGGGCAGATATGGAATATAGCAGTATCTGCTGCCGTGTGTGCTTGTGGATGTGCGGATTATGGACGGTCGCACAGCATTGCCGTAGCGCATATTGCCCACCCCAAATGTGCGTGGGTATCGCAACTTTGGCGGTGCTGAAAAATACAGACCTCGTAATTTGCGGTAGTGTGTACTGCGCCAACCTCCTCGGCGCCTTCTGGTGTGTGTTTATGTGTGTCTTGATGCACGTGTATGTGGTAAAGAGCGGTTCTTGCAGATCGTGTAGCAACGGTAATTTTTGCCAGCTTTGCCTTGTTATAAAGCTAAACCGTTGTGTTTCTCCTGAGTTGTGGTAGTATAAGCTACGGTGTGATGTGTGGGTTGGTACTTGTTAACAACCAAGAGTGCAGGGTGAACGTGGAGGCGCGTGACAGGCGTCAGTGATGTTCCCATGTTTGGTGGGTTGGTTGGATCCATGCGATGTGCGGTGTGTTGCGATGTGCGGTGTGTTGCGATTGCCCCCTTGTATGTGTGCGGTTGTGTGTATCATGCAGCGTGCTGTCTTGTAGTTCCCATTACAAAGTTTCACGCTTTGCAGTAAATGCGCGCGCACGTGTGTCGTCACCCTCCATGTCCTTCGTGCCGTTCAGTGCTATCGTCCGCCCCATGTGCTTTTGCGTGTGTGCAGCTGCCGTGTTATGTAAAGCCGCTTGCTTGCTATATAAGCATATACCGTAACGTTTGAGTGCATGCCTTCATCTGACCGCGGCATCAATGATGTTGGGAATGTGGGCGCTTACTTCTTAACGCTTGTGTCTCAAGGAAAATATGAGTGGTATGTCTTGAGGAGTACGTGGTTTGGTGGCACGGTCGCTTTTGTGCCGTCCTGACTTCCGCTCCCTTGCTGGCTTGGGTGTGTATGCGTGTGTGGAGTGTTGGATCGCTTAATCACTTGATGGCTTGCTAGCTTGAGCGTGTTGTATATACTTGACAGCGTGCACTTGTACGCACGGCGGTGTTTCAGTAGGGCGCATTCGATCCGCGAGCATGACGTAGGCCGGGCCTATGCGTTACGCCCATCTTGCATGCATATGCGCGTGTATGTGTGCGTGTGCGATGACAAATGAGCAACGACCGGAGAACTGCATGTTACAGCGAGACTTATACGTGCATATATCGGCATGTGCTTTGAGAGGCTCACCGTCTTGTCGTGTTCTGATGCACCGCCGCTTTGCGTGCTGCTGCTGCTGCTGGTTGTTGTAGTGCTGAGACGATCTATATGCACCTGGGAAAAGTATTGAGAGTTCTGCATCTTGTCTCTCTAAAGAGCTGTATACGATACGATATGCGCGTGTTTGGACCAAACATGGACTGTTCTTGTATGCTATGGGTTGTGTGCTCCTAACCCTCCGGTGAGTTGTGAGTTTGAGCTTGTATGGGTAGCCTCGTAAGCGAGTGTATGTAGTGCGAAGCATATACATAATTGAAAGAAAATGTGCTTGACGTGGAAAGAAAGAGATTCCTCGTTCTGCTCTGTCTCTTATACGCCAGGCAGCTCCCCCAGCCGTTCCTTCAACAGCTTGTCAGACCATCTGCGCTAATCTTCCAGGATACGCCCTCGCGTCTTACTCCGGCCCCGCGTGGAGGGTAAAGCAGTTCAGCGTGGCCTTGCAGGTACCCATGCTGGTCCCTCATCCAAACACGGGTTGCACACTAGCACCTCGCCGGAGCCGCTGAACTTCGCTTTGTGGGAGAGTGGCTGTTGGCTGTGCTAGCGGCCCTAGCCGGGGCTGAACTAGGGCCGTCGCAGCTCCGGCTTCGCCCCGCGACATGGGTGGACATGGGAACCGACTACGACTGCCTGGCTAAGGAATGGCAGACCAGGGGGGCTAATGTAGTGTTGTGCGTAGCTTGACGTTGCTGGCATCATTGCCGTGTTTTTCGGAAAGTGAGGACGGAGCTCTGTACCAATGCCTTCGCAGCAATAGAATCTTCGCAGTACAGACACAATATGCAGGAGAAATACTTTACATGCATCAGGTGACAGATCAACATACTGCCAAGGGTGGGGAGCACTACCAATCTGGGTGCTTCGATTCCGTACATCACTGATCCCCCTGTTCACGTGCTGCATCTTTGTCAACGGCAGTGCCGACTTCCAGCCAAGCAGCGCACGTTGCTTGCTTCTGACCTTCATGTTTTCTTATATCAGCTAGCAGCGGACGTCAAAGTGGTCGGCGCCCACTAGCCAAGACAATGGCCTCCAGCGTAGGCTGGAAGGCGCCCGCAATCGTCAAGGCTTCGGAACATGCGACAGGGGTAAGTTGTGAAATAGGCTTGTAACGGGCCGGTAACTGTGTAACTTTGGGCCGAAGTGCTCCTAGCACGTGCTCCTGCTGCAACTTTCCCACAACGAAAGCGCACTTCATGTCTTTCATTGCTGCTTGCTATGGTTTTGAGGAAATGCTTTTGGAGCACTTAACTTGGTTAGGTAACGCGGCCGTCAGATAGGTCTGACCCCTTTCATGCCTTGCAAAGCAACATTTTTTGGTGAAACACTTTATAGTATGCTTTGTTTTTAACCCTTATGTGTGCCATTTTTGCCGAGTTTGGACAACAATTTTCGCCTTCCTTAATGTTACCCTCCTCGCAGCTTTGCGAAGCTATGTCGGAGGCATTCCCGTGCATCATAAATGTTTGGCCTTCTGCGACTGGTCCGAGCCTGTGCACAACTGAGAGCAAGCTCGGCAAAGAAGGCCAGATAGCTTTGGCGGCAGACAGCGCACCGGTCACAGGTTGCAGTAGCAATGAAATTGCATATGGATGTGCGAAATACACCTGCAATGATCACTTCGAGGAGGCGGCTGATACGGGCAGCGTTCGGACGGGCTCAACTGATACCAGCATCCTCACACAGAGCATTAATTCCACATCTTCGACCATGGTCCGCTGTGGAGACTCCCATTCGACCATCGGAGCTGCGGCAATAGGCAGGCGGAAGCAGGCCAGCGGGCTCTCTGCCGCCCTCAAAGCTCGTGCAATGCCCGATCCACCTGATCTACCGCGGTTACAAATCCGTGCGGCCGACCGCGGCCTCACCCCATCCTCAAACCTGACGAACCGAGGTGGTCAAACATCCACTTCCGCAACTGCTGCTAACCCAGCTGCAACAGCCGCGACTGCGGCAGCATCTTGCGCCGCACAATCCAAGCCAGGACAAGCATCGTCCACCGCCGCGGCTGACGCCGACGCGGCGGGTAGCGTCGACAGCACCAATGCCAGCGCCAGCGACGCCTGGGACTCGCTCCCCTTCTTCTCCCCATCTGTAGTCGACCGCCTTTGGGCCGGCAGCGCTTGCGACGGCAGCGGCAGCCCTCGCCGCCACCACCACCACCGGCAGCACAGCCAACACCAGCATCAGCCACACCACCGCTCAGGCCAAGCCCAAGCCCACCATCCCTATCATCCTCACCATCCTCGCAACAACTCCGGTCGCCAACAACAACACCAACAGCAGCAGCAGCAACACCATCGCTCCTCCACCACCACCACCGCCCGAAGTAAGTGGTTTCACCAACTGGACCGAGGCCGCGGCTCTCACATCCAACACCACCATTCCAAGGCCGACACAACAGACGCCGCCTCCTCCGTCGCCAGTACCGCTGCTGCCAGCGCTGCCTCCACTGCCGCATGCGGTCAGGCTGCTGCTGCCCCTCCCGTCGGAGGTGCTAGCGCTAGTGCCTACACATGCAATGCCGGCTCATCCTGCAACGGCACGTGTGGAGTAGCATCTGGGGAGGCCGGCGGTGAGGGGTGCGGGCAACCTCAGCAGCAACAGGGCCGTTCTGCTGGCCCGCCACTGCCGCCGTCGCAACCCCCTACACCGCGCTGCTGCGAAGATACGGCATCTTCATCGTCGTCATCATCATCTTCAACAGCAGCAGCAGCAGGATCAGCAACAGCGGCAGCGGCGGCAGGATCAGCAGTAGCGACCGGAGCATCAGCCTCCTGCATCGCTGGAGTGTTGCCGCCAACAGGTCGGGTGACCCGCGGGTCGTCAGCATCCACACCTCGCAATGCGACTGCAACAGCCGCTGACCACAACCACCATCACCACCATCACCATCACCACCGGTCGCAACTGCCGCCTCAGCCGCCTTGCATGGCGCTGGTAGCGGCGGCGGCGGCGGCGGCGCCTGCCCCCCGGGCCCTAGGCGGGCTCTTCCGCCGCAGCAGTGGCAGCGGTTCCTCCCCCGCACCCCGGGTACCACGAGGGGGAGGAGGAGGAGGAGGGACGACATGCAGGAGGCCCCACCGAGCTGAGCCGCCGCGGGATGCCACTGCCACTGCCACCGGCTCAGCAGCTGCTGCCGGTGTTGCAGCTATGGGCCCAGCTGCTACTGCGGCTGCAGCGGCGGCGTCAGTGGCCCTGACGGATGCTGCAGCGGTTGCGGCGCCTGGGGTGGCTGCACAGCTGGGGTGTGTGTCGATGGTGGATTCTGCAGGCCGCCAGCAGCAGCAGCGGCAGCAGGAGGCGGTTGCTGCGCCCCAGCCTCAAGCCACGGAGAAGCCCTCGTCCTCGACTTTAGAGGAGAAGAACGCGGACATAGCTGCGGTCAACACAGCCGCTGGCGCCGCTGCCACCATGGCCCTGGCTGCTGCTGCGGCTGCCTCTACTGCCGGCGCCAACAACAACAGCACCACTGGGAGCTCCTGCTGCTGGCACGACCCATGGGTCACCCAGCGCATCAGCAGCCCCCCCGCCTCCCCCGCCTCCCAGGCGTCCACCGTGTGGGAGCTCCCGCACGCCCACCACCCCTCCAACCTCGTGCGGGAGCAGCTGCAAGCCGCCATCTGGCCGCCTGTGGTGTGCCGCGGCGGTGGCAGCAGCTGTGCGGGTGGGGGTGGGGGTCGCGGCAGGGGCCGCAGCATGCGGGGGCCGGCCGGGGAGGACCTGCGGGCTCAGTGGTGGGACCTGACGGGTCGGTTTCATGAGGGGGACAATGAGAGGTTGCGGAGGCAGCTCATGTTGCCGAAGGAGCATGGAGGAGGCGGAGGAGGAGAGTCGAGGCGTGGGAGCAGCAGCCGGGGGAGCACGGGGCAGGGGTATGGTGGTGGTGGGGGCGGCGACGGGTGGCAGGGGTGGTCGTGGCGGAGGTGGTGGTCGTGAGGGGAGGCGTGGTTGTGGAGGAGGCCTTTGTGCTCCGGATATTGCCGCGTATTGCCGTCTCAGCGTTTGGGGCGGAATGCAGTCGACGAATTGCGACTGTTATCGCTAAAAGGGTTTGCACGGTAGCGCTGGCAGCGGAGCCCCTTGCCAAGGGTTGGCGGACCGATTCGTGCGGCGGGGCGTGTCAATACAGCTACCAGCCACCCCAACCCTACCCTTGATGGCAGGGCGCCCGTGCGGGTGCAAAACTTGACGTGAACGGTGGTGGGGGTGTATACCTCGCCATGGGCAATGTGCACAGAAACACCATGGTGCTGTTGTTGTGATAAGCTTCAGAAGCACGATGATCTGGGCGGCATAAGATGGTGCTGTTGTTGGTAAGAGCTGCTCCCGACGTTCCGAGAGACCTGTTTTGCGTGGCAACATGGGGTGTCTGTAAATGACAGAAGCTACCCGAGTGAGATTGCTTTTCTCTCTTTCTCGTGGCCACCCCGTTGTGCTTTTCTCGCTGTACATGCATTGCGTACAGGGCACAGCAGGACATCCTTTCTTTCGGCCTTTTGCCCGGGTTACTCTTCGGCTGCCCATGCGCGACTCACTGCTTACTGTGTGCGTGTTGGGGGGGGTAGAGAGGAAGACACTGCAAGTGGGGAGGACACTGCGGGCTGAGTGGCGTATCCGCTGCTAGCGCATGGGGGCATGGTGGATGCTGTAAGCGTCCGCGGATTGGGTAGATAGTGGCGGGGCCCGCTGCCGGCCCCTTCATGCCGTAGTGCCAACGTTTCGAACCTGTCTGCTGCCTTTACTGGCAATAAGGTGGATATTTGAAGTGTGGGCATGAATGACGCTACTTGGTTTCCGAAAAATAAATACGCCTTTCATGTGCCCGATTGCGGTGCACGAGTCTGCCTTCTGGGTGATACGTCTACTCGCCCCCCGGTCCGTACGAGAGAGTACGGCAGTACTCCTCACGGAGGGTACGGCAGTGGTTTACGCCGCGTCATTCGCCGGTGGTGCTGGTGCCGGTGGTGTTGGTGCTCTGATGGAGCAGGTGCGGGGTGTGTGTAGTATTAGGAGCTGTGTGTTAGGCTGATAGGTAGAGTGTTGGGGGCTGGCTGTTCACATAACACGTAAGTGGTATTGACACAGCGCATCTCCCTTAGCTAGGTAGGTTGTTGCATTTTTGTCGCCGATATGTTGGGCTTCTGTTGCTCATCATACGGGCGCTGTTGTTGTTGTTGTTTGTTAACGACATGCGATAGCTTGCTAGAGGCGGAGTAGAGGCCATTGAAGCCATGGGAAAGAAGTTTGGACAATTGAAGGAGTAGCGGCACATACTTATCAAGGAAGACAAAACACCCAAAAGTACTCGACAATGCTAATGATGACGGCTTGCATCCCTCTGTGGTGTATGAAAGCTTTCTTTCCTTTCGCCACTGCTGTGCCAAATGCACAGTTTGCCTTCTCTGCCAGGCGGTCATGTGCGCGCTCTTTCGGGTTGTGTCTTCGGGACCGTTAGGGCTTTTTGGAGCTAAGGCTCCCGCTTTGTTACCGTATTTGGTCCTGGGGTTTTACAAGCACGTCTTCCACAAGGACGTGTCAAGCTGGGGAAATGGAAGGAGGTCGCCGCCGCTGCTGTTGCTTCATGATGCACACGAGAGGTTGCCGCGGGTAGCGGAGAGAAGAATGCGAAGGCTTGAGGGGAAGCAGGGCAACCCATGTGTTTGGCACCCCCTTGTTTGAGTGCAGTAGCCGGGGGTCGTTAGGACGCAGTAGCAGCATTGCAGGGCTCATAGCCGTCGAAAGAGGGGTCACCCAGCATGCTAGCACTTGGCCTCCTAGCATCCTCCCGGGGCACTTAGGCGTGTGTGTTAAGATAACTGGCCGCGAGCCATGTGTGTGTACTTGTCTAAGGCTGTTAGACCAACGTAGAGCCGCGTACGTGTGTGCTGTACGCGTGTGGACGTGGATGTGCATGCGTGTATTGTAATAAAGCAAGTACCGGTATCTCGATGATTCAACAGCGGCCACCCATGCCCCCACGCGGTCAGACAGTTACGCGTCCGTATCAATTGTGTAACCCGGTTCAAGAAAGCTTTGGGAAACCTGGACGCAGGTGCCTACTCTAGCCAACCATGCAGTACGGACGTGGCCTTGCACGTGTGCCCTTACAATGTTGGGGCAAAGGCCATATGGCCTATCCAGTAGAAGATACAGCCGCCCGTACGTGCAACAAACCGCTCATAGGCTTCGCGGCTCTCTTCATAGATACGAAAGCTCGTATCCTGATTTTTGAATGGTCTCCTGCAGCGCGCCTCGCATACCACCACACCCAACAATTACCGGTACAACAACAAGCCCCTGAAGAGTCGCACACCGGGGGTGCTTGCTTACAGGCCCGTAAACCGAATGTACCTACTTAGACCCGCTTCGTCCTCCTCTTTACACGCACAACACCCCTGTGTGGTTGGATTGAATGCGCTCCCCTAGCACCATATGCACCCACCCATTCACCCAGTTTTGCGGCCAGTTAATTTGACACACCCCAGCAGCAGCAGCAGCAGCAGCAGCAACAGGAAACTCGTTCTCCTCCGAAGCCCGCTCCTCATACAGCACATCGCTCTACGTCTCCTGACGAAAGGGGTGCTAGCCCCTCACCCGCCCGACTCCCTCCCCTCCACCCCTAAAGCTGCTGCGCCCCTTCTCCCCCCCACCCTCACAGCCATCCAGGACCGCCCTCCCGCACCCACTACCCCTCGTGGCTCGGTCCACCCAATCCCGCACCCAGCTACCGGGCCATGTAAACAGGATGGGTCTCCTCCTCCTTCGTTTCCAGCCCCCTCGCCCCCTCGCAGGGCCTCCCAAACCCACCTCCTGGCCGCGACCCTCCCACCACCCTCATCCCCCCGCGCCAGGCTGGGGACACCCCGCCCCCCCCCACCTTTCACCGCTCGACCACCCCTCTCACAGCCCCTCCCCCCTTTCCAGGCCAACCCCCCCGACACGCATGGAGGCAGCCCCTCCCCTCCCCACCCTTCACACCCGCCCCGCCTCACAGCCCCAGCGGCCGCCTCTTGGACAGCGCGGGTGTGGTGCCCCTCCGCCCCGCACCCGCACCCGCACCCGCACCCGCACCCGCACCCGCACCCGCACCCGCCCCAGCACTGGGCAGGCCGGGGGTGGCGATGGCCTCGCGCTCCCGACTCCTCTGCGCCTCGACACGCGCCCGAGCTGCGGCCTGTGGGGGGAAGCGGGTAGGGGTGCGGGGAGGTGGTTGGAGAGAGCCATGTGGGGATAGAGATACATAAACTCTCTCCATCACTCCCCCTCCTTCCCTTATCCTCCCAAAGCCAAGGAATATCGACCCCTTCACATACCTCATTCCACGCCCACTTGCCCGCCTCCTCCGTTCACCTTTTCAACGGCCCCCTCCCTCCCGCTCAACCCCCATCATACCCAGCCCCCACCATCACACCACCCCCATCACACCCCCCACCTCCTCCTCCGCCTTCTTGGCCTGCGCCGCCTTCATCTCCGCCGCCATGGCCTCCTTGTCCGCCCGCTGCTTGCGCTTGCTGTCCAGCAGGCTGCCACCCACCTCCTGGGGGTTGGAGGAAGAGGAGGAGAGGATGGTAAATCAACTGGCCGCCGGATCAAGTGGTGTGTTAAGAAAACTAGACGCGAGGAGGAACGGGAGGGTGTGGGGGACGTATCAGACGTATCAGGCCCCTCCCCAGCCGCTTCACTTCCCTTGCCTAAGCATGCGCTGCTCTCCTCGCCTCCCGCCCATCCCCTCCCTCTTCACCCCACTCGTCAGCTTCTCCTTATTTTTACCCCACTTCACCCCCCCTCACTCCCCCCCCACCTTGACGCTAAAGAACATGGGCCCCAGCTCCGCAAGCCACTCGGGCTCCACCGCCGTCACACACTGCATGGGGGGGGGGAGGGGGAGTAGGAGGAGGAGGGGTAAGTCAGAGATATACCACAGGGGAGTAGGAGGAGGGGGGAGGTTGGTAAGTTGGGACTGGGTAAGAGTGGGGCCTGACCTCGGGAGGTATGCCGTACCCTACGCAGGGCCCAACATGCCGCTCACAACACCCCAAACCGCCCCCCGCCCCTCCTCCTAACCATCTCCCACCCTCCAGGAGGCTTATTAAGTCCCCCCTCTCCCCCCTTTACAACTCGTCAGTTTCCTTATTTTGTCCCCTCTACCCCCCCCCTTCCCCCCTTAGTTTCCTCCTTACCCCCCCCCCCAGTTTCTTCCCCCCCACCCCCACACACACATACCTGCATGTACTCCTTTGTGGTGAACACCAGCTCGTGATACACGATGTAGTCGGGCGTGTAACCCAGCCCGTACAGCGCGGAGCTGGGCGGGAGAGGGGGGTGGGGAGGGGGAGGGGGGGGGGAGGTGGGGAGTGGGAGTGGAGTGTGTGTTAAGGAAACTGTGGTATGGAGGAGTTAAGTAAGGAAGTGGGTAGGAGTGGGGCAACAAGGGATGACCGGCAACCAACCCGGCCCCCCCCCAGGGCAGCTGTGCACCCCCAGCTGCATGCCTTCAAGGGCAGAAGGACACCACTGCATGGCGGACAGCTCAGGGGGGCAGCCCCCCCTCCTGTCTTGTCGCCCCTGTTTGCCATTCTCATCCAATACTTTGTGGTATTCATCTTCTTCCCCCTGCTCTCCCCCCCTTGCGCCCCCCCCACCTTGGGTGCAGGTGGCAGGGCATGCCGGTGCGGCAGTTGACGTACTCGCCCACCGACTTGAACTTGCCGGCGTTCTGGGGAGGGAGGGGGGTGCGGGGTGCGGAGTGGGAGGGAGGGCGGGGTGGGGGTGCCGATAGCAGCGGCAACCCCAGCGCACACAACAGCAGGCAGGCAGGCAGGCAGACAGGCATTTGTGTTGTTCGAGGAGTGGCGGGGGGACACAGCCACTCGATTGTGCGCCGGAGCCACCTCCTCCTGCGCGGCATCCCACTCGCCTCCTCCTCCTCCCCCCCTGTCTCCCTGTCTCCTATGGTTTGGTATGGTCTTTGACCCCCCTGTCCCTCGCCAGCTCCCTCCACCAACCTCCCCAACCCTCCCCTTTGGAGTCATCCCCTCCCCCCCCCCCAATCCCACCTGGAAGTAGGCGGAGCAGATGGCCTTCCTCACAATGTCCCAGTCGCTGCCGGCGCTGCTGACGGGCAGCCCCACCTGCGTCAGGATGTCGGCCAGCTGCTGCCGCACCTCCTTGGCCTTGCGCAGCCCCTTGGCCTGCAGGTAGTGCCGGTCGCACCAGTCACCCCTGGGTTTGGGGGGGGGGAGGGGGAAGAGGGAGGGGGAGAGACGGGGAGTGGGAACAAGGGGAGTGCTAAGAAGGTGCAATCATGCAGGGTGATACCTCCTTCACCGCGCGATGGCCCCACGTGTGTAAGTCATCAGCCATCTTTAGCCACACCCCCCTTCCTCACCCGCAATCCCCTGCCTTCTCCTTTCCCGCCCCCCGCTCGCATCCCATGTTGCTCCCTTCCCTCCCTCCCCTCTCTCTCATTCCCCCTCTCCCTCTCCCTACCCTCCCCTTCATTCTCCCCTCCCTCTGACTCCCCTCCCCCCCCTCCCCCTTCCCCCTCCCCCCCCACCCCCCACCCCCGCACCTGTACCCGTTGTTCTTCCACTGGTTGTACACGTGGAGCAGGGTGAGGTGGTCGCTCTCGGGAACAAAGAACTTCTCACGCGCCGCGTCGCTCTCCTCGGCCCGGTCGGGCGGGCGGAAGAAGACTGGCGGCACGGAGAGCATGGAGACGATTGTGAGGACCTGGAGTTGGAGGGGAAGGGGGGGGGGGAGGAGAGGAGGGGGGAAAAGGGGGAGGGGGAGGAGGGGAGGAATGAGCGGACGGAGGGTGGGGGTGTGGTAAAGAAACAGAAGTGGAGCACTGCGAGCACCTTTTGGCCCCAACGCAATCAGTTAGCGGACAACAATAACGCACAACCCAGTAGGAGGGTGGGACCTGCTCCCCTCTTCCCTCTCCACCCTGCCCCTCCCCCCTCCCCCATCCCCCGGCTTGACTAGTTTCGGGTGGGTTGGGTTGGGCCGGGTTCAATTAGCAACCCATGGTGAAGCCGCCTCGTCATGCAGCTCTCTCCAGTTTCCTTATTTTCACCTCCCTCCCCACCCTCCTCCTATCCCCATTGCTTTGCCCTAACCTGTGGTTTCCTACGGTTTGGTATGTGGTCTCCGCCCCCCCACCTCGTTGCTGCCCCCCTGTTATCTCCCCCCTCCTCCTCTCCTCCCCCCCACCTCGTTGCTGCCCCCCTGCTACCTCCCCCCTCCTCCTCTCCGCCCCCCCACCTCGTTGCTGCACCCCATGGCCGCCCCGCTGAGGAGCATCTTGGCCAGCGGCGGGTCCAGCGGGAACTCCACCATCTGGCGACCCAGAGGGGTGAGCAAGCCTGACAAGGGGGGGAGGGGGAGGAGAGGGGGGCATAAGGACGGTGAAGAAGGAAGCGCTTTGCTCTCCCCTCCCCTCCCCAACATACCGCCGGCATTCGCAAGCATCCCTATACAGCGCTGCCATCAACTAGTGGCCATGAATGCATCTCACCCCCTCCCCCACCTACACCCCCCCTCACCCGTGTTATCCAGCGCCCCCAGCACCCAGAGGTTGTACATGGAGTTGACGATGTTGTCGCGGGGGGGCGGGTCCATGAAACCGAACTCCAGCAGGTCGTGGACCTGAGGGGGAGAGGGGGAGGAGGGGAGAAGGGAGGGGGAGAAGGAAGGGGGAGAAGGAAGGGGGTGATGAGGCACGGCCAGAAGAAGGCCGAGGCATGCTTCAAGGTGTCCTCTTCAGCCCCTTTTCACTGAACATGGAATGTCTTCCCCATGCTCTCCCCGCCCCCCCCGTACCTCCCCCTCTCAACCCCCCTTATGACACGGTCAGTTAGTTGTTTCCTCATTTTACGTACGGCACCTTGAGGCTCTTCAGCAGCAGCACCACGTTAGCAAGGTTGGTGCGCTGGATCTCGGGCACGTTCATGGACAGCATCTCGTGCCTGGGGTAGGAGGGGGGGGGGTCAGAAACATACCGCTATCAAAATCACAGGTTGGGGCGAAGCGATGGGGATAGAGGGAGGGGGGTAAGTGTACCCATGCATCTATCCCTCCCCACTCTCCGCCCCCTATCCCGTCCCTCCTCCTCCCCCCTCCTCTCCTCCCCCCCACCTGAACGCGCTCTCCGTGTAGAGTCGGTAGCAGGTGCCGGGTCCGGTGCGCCCCGCCCGCCCCGACCGCTGCCCCGCCGCCGCCTGGCTGATGGGGAACACTTGCAGCGCGTCCATTCCCATCTTGGGGTTGTAGACCTGGGGGCAGGGGGGGGAGGGGAGGGGGGGAGGGGGAGGGGGGGAAAAAGGGGGTCGAACACCATACCAGACCACAGGAAGAGGGAGGTAATAGGGGTACATATCCCGAAAGGAAGAAGGGACGATGAGAACCAAGCGACAGAGGTATCAGCAGGAGTGCGGTAGAGGTGGGTGCATGAGTAGTGCAATAATGTAGTGGAACAAAGATGGAAGGAAGCCCACACTCGCCTCTCCGCTCCTCCCTCCGGACCCCTTCTCCCCCCAACTACCGGTGGCACAATCACCCTGGCCCCCATCACACCCCCCATCCCTCATGAACCCCCCCCCCCGCCCCCCCACCCCCATCCCCCCCTACCTTCATCTTCACATACCCCGTGTCGATCACGTATAGGATGCCGTCCACCGTGAGCGAGGTCTCCGCGATGTTGGTGGACACGATCACCTTGCGAACCCCCTCGTCCGCCTTGTCGAAGATCTTGGCCTATTGGGGGGGGGGGAGAAGGAGGGAAACGGTGAGGTGTTAGGCCTCGACTGGTGCAGGCGAAGGCGGCGGTTGCTCCACACCTCCCCCTCCCTGGGCCCCTCCCGCTTCCTTCCCAACCCTGCACCCTCTCCGGGCCCCACATAGGCTTCCCACCCCCACGGCCAGTGAGCTGTTTCCTCTCTACCCCTCCCCCCTCCCCCCCCCCCCCCCCTGCAGGTACCTGCAGGTCTGAGGGCAGCTGGCTGTATATGGGCAGGATGAGCAGCTCGGGGATGTCACTACCCGAGGAGCGCATGTGGTCCAGCCGCTCAGCCAGGCTGAAGCAGGTGGCCTCGATCTCCTCCTGGCCTGTGGGGGGGGAGGGGAGAGGGGGGAGGTATGTGGGGTTTGGATACTCGCTGCGGGCTGACACCGCACCAAACCACATGTTCCACACTCACATACACATGCATCACAGTACGTTCCGGCCAGTTTCCTTAACACACACACAGCGGGCCAGTGTGTGTGCTGCTGACATCACGGGGCCCCCCCAAAAACCCAGTGGACAGCCCCGCGACCCCCAACCCAGCTAAAGTGCCCCAAGCTCCCAGGGTGCGAAATGCGGGGGGGGGGTCGGGGCATGGTGCGGAGGAGGTGGAGAGGGGGTGGGGGTGGTGATGCGACGCAGGGTGCCCCCCCCCAAGCACCCCACCGCACCCACCCGTCATGAATATGAGGATGTCACCCGGACCGTCGCGCAGGTGGATGGTGACGGCCTGGGGAGGGGGGGAGGGGCGGCAGGGGTGCAGCTCTTATGGGTGTGAGTGCGGGTTGGGTGCTGCGGGATACTGCAGTGGGTGTGCAACCGGCTCTGCAAACCTCCGTTTTCGTTCCCCTCCCTCCTTCCCTCCCATTTTACTTTTCATTTATTTCCTCTCCCCCCCTCCCCCCCCCACCTGCTTCACCGCCGCCTCCACATAGTCCTCCTGCACGGTGCGACTCCACAGAATGTCCACGGGGAAGGTGCGGCCTGGGGGGGGGGAGGGGGGTGAGGGGGACAGGAGGTGGAGAGGAAAGAAGGAGGTAGGGGTAGAGCAGCGCAGTTGGACGCGGGGACGTGCGGCTTTTGGGGGGGAGTCAAAAAGGGAGGAGCGACCCACGGGTCGGCTTCAGCAGCCGGGTCCGGTGCAAGGGCTGCTGCAAGCCACCAGCTGCCTGCTCCCCCCCCCAGCCATGAGCGCCCCCAGCTCCCTCTACCTGGGATGGTGAAAATGGGTACGGACCCGAAGAAGTCGGAGAACTTTTGGGCGTCCAGGGTGGCGGAGGTGACGATGAGCTTGAAGTCACGTCTGGAGGGGGGTAGGAGGAGGGGTAGGAGGAGGGGAGGGAGCGAAGGGAGGGGAGGGATAGGAGGGTTAAGGAGGAATAGGAGGTCAAAGTCCGAAAGCAGGCTAGCCCAGCACGCGGAGGAGCACGAGCGAGAGCGACCAGCGCACCCCCCCCCCTCCCCCACCCCCTCCCCCCCCACCTCCTGGCCACCACCCTCTTGAGGATGCCAAACAGCACGTCCGTGTTGAGCGAGCGCTCGTGCGCCTCGTCCATGACCACCACACTGTAGCTGTCCACGTCCTCGTTGATCTGGGGAGGAGGGGGCGGGGGGGGGAGGTAAAGAAGAAACAACTAACTGACTGAGGGATAAGGCGTCAACATGGGTTGCAACATGTGAGCCAGCCTGACCCACCCAGCCCGAATTAGCCAAGCCAGGGGGGGAGGGGGGAGGTGACAAGGGGAGGGGAGGGAAGCGTCAAGGGGAGTGAAGCAGCAGGGATACAGACAGACAGGAGGAGTAAAGCGCAGATCAGCGCAGCGACTGCTCAGCAGCCTCCTCTCGCACGAGCACCACATGCCTTCCCACCCTCTGCAGAGCCCTCATCCACCCACCCCCACCCTCCATGCACCCTCCCCCTCCCCTTCCCCCCGACGCATGGCTCTTTTTCTTCTTCTTCATATCTTCCCTCCACCCTCCCCTCCCTCCCCTCCCTTATGTGGAATATTTATCCCTATTAACCCTCTCCCCTACCAGCGTCTCCCTGAGCAGCACCCCGTCCGTCATGTACTTGATGATCGTCTTGTCGGAGGTGCAGTCCTCAAAACGAATGGAGTAGCCCACCTGGGGGGGGGAAGGGAGGGGAGGGGGGGGACCAACACGTCATGAGACGCATAGGTGAGGCAAGACGGGGAGGGGAAGCAGGGGCCCCCGCCCATCTCCCCTCCCTCCCTGGATCGTTCCGTGTGTTGCCCCCACGAAAACCGTACACCCTCTGCCCGCTCCCCCCCTCCTAGCGCCTCACCTCCGCCCCCAGTTCGACCCCCATCTCCTCGCTCACGCGCTTGGCCACACTCATGGCCGCCACTCGCCGGGGCTGCGTGCAACCTGGGGGGGGGGGAGGGGTTGCGGGGCGCCTTAGCGGGCGTGTTTAGGTCATGACGACTGGGGGCGAAGGCGGCGGGAACAGCCTCACCCTCACCCTCACCCTCACCACCACCACCACCCTCACTATCACCACTCGCCATCACTGATGACCTCGCCAGCTGAACAGAGGTCCATCCTCCTCCTCCTCCTCCTCCTCCTCCTCCTCCGGCCAGCCACATGCGTCCCTCCGCCACCACCACGCCTCCCTCCCCCCCCACCGCCATCGCCCACTCATCAATGGTGCCGTACACTCACCCCCCCCCACTCACCAATTGTGCCGTACTTAGTGTATCCATCCTCGTGCAGGTACTGGGTCATCTGGGTGGTCTTGCCGCTGCCCGTCTCACCCACCACCACCACCACCTGGTTCTCGCGGATTACCTAGTAAGGGGGGATGAGGGCGGGGGGGGAGGGGAGGGGTGCATGGAGGTCGTGGAGAAAGATACACAGAAAGGAGGGTAAATATTCCGCTCGGGTTCCGGATATCTCGGGCTACAAGCTTACAACGCCCCAGCGTTTACGGTGCCCGGAAGGCCGGGGGGGAAGGACGACATGCACAACACCCCGTAGCCCCATTTGAGCAGTCACTGCCGTGCTTTGCAGCCTGCATGTATGGTGTGTGCCGTACACGCACCATCCCCCCTCTCCCCCCTTATTCCCGAGCACTCCCCCCATCCATTGTAGGACAGCTCGTCAGTTTCCTTTTTTCCCTCCCCTTCCTCCCACCCGTTTCCTCCCCCCTCCCCCCCCCCCACCTGCAGCAGATCGTCCCTCACTCCGTACACGGGCAGGCTCCTCCGCTGCTGCTCCAGCGACTTGTTGCGACTGAACTCGCTGGCAGCCTCCGACTTCTTGAGGTGGCTCCTGGGGGGGGTTAATAGGGATACATATTCCGCATTAGGCTGGATTTTAGGATTGCTGGATTTTAGGGGGGGGGAGGGGTCAAAGACCGTACCGAACTGTAGGAAACCACAGTTGGGGCAAAACATTGGGACTATGACGGACAATCCCCCAGTCTGCCCTTTCTCAGTTGCCCCTCTCTCCCCTTTCCGCCCCGCCCCCTCCCCCCTCCTCACTTGAACTGGCTTGCGGCTCGGTAGTCCTCCCCCTCCTTGTCCTCCTCCACCCGCTGCGCCTCCGCCTCCGCTGCAGCCGCCGCCTCCTCGCCCGTGAGACCCGTGATCTGGGCCATTTTGGAGCCTGCAGAGTGGGGTAGTGGGGGTTACATGTGTGGAGTTACTAGCATTGGGAGAAGGGAGGAGGAGGGAAAAGAATACCTCCTCCCTCCCCCCGCCCCTAAAGCTTTCCCTCATCCCGAACCCCCCCCCCAAGCTTCTTCCTCAAGCCCTCTCGGTTTACGGTAAGCAACAATTCGGTAAGTAATTTGAGATGCGTGTTATTAGTGCCTCCGAATGCGCTCACTGCATGAGTCGGGATATGGGTTTGGGATTCGTTGTTTCACATATTTAATCCCCCCCCTCCCCCCCTCCCCCCCTCCCTTCTCCCCACTCACCCGCCACCTCCCAGAACCGCTGCCGGCTCTTGTGCTGCTCCTTCTTCTCGCGCACCTGCTTCACCAGCCCCGAGCCCTTGCGAGCGATCACCGCCATGTCGCTGGTGGGGTCCTTCAGCGGCAACACGATGTCGGCCTGGCAGGGGGGGGGAGGGGGGAGGGTAAGGAGGGGGGGGGGAGGTAAGGAGGGGGTCCGGAAACCGGTGTGTAACCCTCTTACTCATCTCTCCTGCCCTGCCCTCCATTTACCTCGCACACCTGCCTCCCTCCAGCTGACACCCCCCCCTCATGTTTATGTACGGCTCTACCCGTACCCTACCTCCCCCCAACCTGTTCCACCTGTTCGTCAGTTTCCTTACTTCCTAACCCCCCACCTGCTTGTTGTTGACCACCTGCCCCTCCAGGAAGGGCGGCTTGGTGTCGTGCACCAGCAGCATCACACGCGCCTCGTCCTCGTCAGCAAAGTCCAGGGATACCTGGGGGCGGAAAAGGGGGTCAAAGACCATACCAAACCATAGGAGACCACAAATTAGGGCAAAGCAATGGGGGTAGGAGTTGGCGAGAAAGGGTGGGGGGGTGCATGGGGGTTGCATGAGGCGGATGGGGTGGTGGAGGGGGAGGCGGTGAGAGGGCGCTAGGGACTGGGGGGAAGGTTTGCAGTGCTGGTGGGGCAGCGAGCCCGCGCAGGGTGCTGGCCGGCAGGGCAAGGCGGGAGAAGCCACGGGTGGTCATGCCACGCAACACAGCCGTGAAGGCAACACATCACCCTCTTCCCGCCGCTTTCATCCCCGCCCCCCCGATTGGGACTCGTTGTTTCACATATTTAATTTCCCCCCCCCCCCTCACCTCCTTGAGCCGCACCACCCCGCTGGTCAGCAGCCGGTTCTCCTCCCACGCGTTGAGCGCCTTCTCCAGCTCGTTGGCGCGGCGGGAGGCGGCGAGGGACATGGTGCTGCCGTCCTTGCGCACGCGGCGCTGCAGGTCGGCGGTGCGGCGCTACAGGGAGGGGGGAGGGGAGGGAAACATTTGATTAGGGGGGAAACAAATGAGAAATGCAGCAAACACCTCATTAAGTCATAGTAAACCACAGGTTTAGGGCAAAGCAATGGGGATAGGAAGGGAGGGAGGGGGGGAGGGGCAGATGATGGGGGATGGGGAAGGGTGAGAAGGCGGAGGAGGCAGCTGACAGTCCCGACGACACAAAGGCACAAGGGGGCAGCAGGGAGGAACACCCACACCACACTCACAGCGCCCACCTACAGTGAACCTCTTGCGACACCCCGCCTCCCTCCCCTCCCTTCCCACCTCCACCTCCACCCCACCACCCCCTACCTGGAACAGCGCTTCATCCCCCACGAAGCGAGCAGCCGCCCCCGCGTCGTCCGTACCCGTGCCGAACTCCTCGGCATCGTACCTGGGTGGGGGGTGGGGGGTGGGGGGGTGGGGGGGGGAGTTAGGTAAACTGAGCCGCTGGTGGAGGTGAAAAAGGAGGACGAAGAAGACCGGGTTGTTGGATGATGGTGGGGGTGAGGTTGTGGCGCGTCGGTGGGGTAAAGAGGAAACAACTAACTGACTGAGGGATAAGGCAGTCGGTGGGGGGAGGGCCCTCAGGTGGGGCATCGCCCCGGGGGCAAGGAAGGCGAGGGAAGGGTACCCAGCCTAGAGAACCCACGTCGCCATGCCACCTACCTAGGGCCCGGGCGGTAACATACAGCACACAGCGGACTCCGCCCATAACCCCCCTAGCTCCCCCCTCCTCTCCTCCCCCCCTCCCCCCCCTCCTCTTTCGTCCCTGGCTGGCCTCGCTCTGGATTGGTCCCTGGACATGGCGGCTGGCCCTTCACGTGGTTTCCCGGTACACACCTCTTTGTGTACCTAGGTACGTGTTTTTATCATGTGTCGGTCTGTGTTGTTTTTTATGAGTGCTCGTGTTGTGCTGTTCCTGCTGTTGGCGTATGCCCCACGGCGCGGTGGGTCTCCACCTCACCTTCAGCAGCCTCCACACATGCCCAAGCCTATGGTAAGGTTTCTCCATAATTGGTAAGTGCGGTAAGTTTAGCTCGCTTTGCTTTCACCACCATTTCGGCTCGACTCACGGTTCATTCCACCAGGGATTGTCAGCAACTTATATCATTATCACACCACACTTTGGAATTTCTTTTTCCCCCCCCTCCTCTCCTCCCCCCCCTCCTCTCCTCCCCCCCCTCCTCTCCTCCCCTCCCCCCCCTCCCTCCCCCCCCTCCCTCCTCCCCCCCTCCTCCCCCCCCTCCCTCCTCCCCCCCTCCTCCCCCCCCTCCCCTCCCCCCTCCCTCACCAGTCCCGCTCCAGTTGCCGCTCTTCCAGCTCCTTCTCCCGAGCATACACCTCGTCGTAGCTGTCGTCCCCACCACCGGCACCACCGCCCGCACCACCGGCCTCGCCTGCAGCGCAGCAGCAGCAACCAACGCAGAGGGGAAGCGGGGGTCAGAGGGCGAAACACACCTCCTCGTCGTACCCCCTTGCCCCCAACCCTCCTCCTCCCGGTGCGGCCAACATACTACGTGTCCCAGCGGCATGTCTAGTGTCAGCTCACCACCCCTCCCCTCCCACCCCTCCTCTCCCACCCCTGCTCCTCACCTTCCGGCCGCAGCTCCGGTGACCTCTCCACCGGCCCGCCCCTGCCTCCCTTCCCACCCCCTCCCCCTCCCCCTCCTGCCGCCCCCCGCTGGTTCCAGCTGGCACTCTTCCAGGAGGGGGTCAGCGCCGGGCTGGGGGCCGTGTCAAACTGCACGCGACCGAAACCCGCTCCCGCACCCCCGCCACCCCCGCGACTGGAGGCGGAGGGGCCACCTCCTCCTCCTCCTCCCCCTCCAGGGATGACAGCTGCGGAGCCGGAGGGCACTGCGGCGGCCGGCAGGGGCGTGTCACCGCCGGAGGACCAACCTCCGCCACCTCCACCCCCACTGGCGTAGGAGGAGCGGGGGGCGCCGGGACGTGAGGAGCCTGGGGGGTGAGGGGGGGGGTGGAGGAAGGTGATAGGGTTGGGGTGTTGGCGTTGCAAGAGGGGTGTACCGTAGTGAGCGGGGAGCAGCGGTTAACCCACGTGTCGCTGGGCAGTGCCCTTCCCTCCAAGCTTCACCTTGCATGGTGACCGGTTACAGCCCAGTATCCTCCCAGCCCGCCCCCTCTCCTTGCTCCCTCCTTTCCTCTCCCTTAACCCCCCTCACCTGTTGCAACCCATGTTGACGCCTTATCACACGGTCAGTTAGTTGTTTCCTCTTTACCACCCCCCCCCCCCCCCCACCCCCACCTGCTCCCGCTCCCGTCCCCGGCCGCCCCGAGGGCACCACCGGCGTGAGCGCCCACTCGTCCTCCCCCCCGCCTCGCCGTACCGGCGTCAGCCCGCCCTCCCACTCGCTGCCTCGCTGACGAACAGAGCTGCCGCCGCCGCCGCTACCGCTGCCGCCGTCACCGTCACGACGATAGCCGCCATCCCTGCCTCCGTCCCTGTCCCTGCTGCTCCTGCCGCCGCCGTCCCGGTCCCGGTCGCGATCATACTCCCGACCTCGCTCCCCTCCTCGGTAGCTGTCCCGCTCCCTGTCCCTACTGCTGCCTCCATCTCTGTCCCTGCCATCTCGACTGCCGCTTCCACCGCCGCCACCATCTCCCCGCCCCCTATCCCGCTCCCTGCCTCCATCCCTGCTGCCGCCACCACCACCACCCCCGTCCCTGCCTCCGTCCTCCCGCTCTCGCCGGTACCGCTCCATCTGCTGCTGGAACCGCACATCCGAGCGCTGCAACACGTCCCCCGCCTCCCCCTCCTGCCGCGAACCACCAGCACTAGCACTGCCACCAGCACCACCACCAGCCGAGTAGGAGGAGTTGGAGGAGCGGTAGCCGTAACTCCCGCCACCATCCCGGTCCCTATCCCGCCCGCTGCCACCCCTGCCCTCCTCCCTCCCTGCTGCTGCAGTGGGCAGGGAGGAGGAGGTGGTCGAGACGTACAGCCCCCCGCCCGCCCGCTCCCGTGCCCGCTGCCGCTCGCGCTGCTCCGCCAGCGACTCCAGCGCGGAGCTGCTCACACCGCCTGGGGGGGCGGGGGAATGGCGGGGAAGGGGGGAGGGCATGGGGAGGGGAGCAAGGGAGAGGAGGTGCAAGTGTGAGTTGGGTGGGGTGGGGTGCGGGAAGGGGCGGAGGCGGAGTATCCAAGGTGCGAAAGGAGAGGCGGGCGGGGTGTTGGCTGCTGGGCGTTCCAAGGGGCAGCATCAGGGGTGAAACGGGGGAACCCAACTCAACCCAGTCCGGCCCAACTCAACCCCCCAACCCCAACCCCCGCCCGCCCTTCCCCCTCCAAGACCCACCAGGGTGCGAGGGCGTGTCGGAGCGCTGCCCCCGGAAGCGCCGCTCGTGGGGCGGCGGGGGCGGCGGCGGGGGCATGAGGGAGGAGGAGGGGGCGGCTGCGGAAGGGCCGCTGGCACGACCACCCCCAGCACCCGCTGCTGCCGGGTTGGAGGTGCTGTCGGGGTCCTCTTCGTACGACAGCTTGACACGTTTGCCTGGCGTACATGCCGTACAATACCATAGGGTGCAACACACGAGATAAGGAGTGTTGTTGGCAAACAGGGCTTCCACAGGATGAATGCGCATACAATGTGAGACACTGCCAATGTGACAGGGGTTTCTCTCTCCAGTCTCCACCCATGCAGCACCCCTCCCTCCGCCCCCTACGGTGGTTTCCTATGGCCAGGTAAGGTCTTTGAAACACCCCACCCCGGTGTTGTTGGCCCCACGGAGCAGCCCCACACTCACTCTCCCGCTCCGCCAGCTCAGCTCGCTTCTGTGCTGCCAGCTTGTCTAGCCCTGGGGAGGGAGGGAGGGAGGGGTGCGGCGGGAGGAAGGGAGCGGCATGAGGCAGAACGACAGGGGGGGCAGCGTGTGAGGTAGGGGATGGCTGCCGCGGGGTTGCCGACGATGGGCCAGCTGGGGCCTGGCCGCGTTCCTTACCCGGTTTATGAATGCTCGGGGGATACGTACCTAGCATTGATGTCCGGGGAGGGGGTGCCTTGAAGACCGGCCGCTCTGGCCGCACCAGCAAGCCACCCGGCTCATCCGTCGGTGGTTCCATGGTCGCCTAGCCTGTGCGCTCTGCCCCCGAAAGCTGTCCGCCGACGGGCACCTGACCTCCGTGCTGCACTGCTAGTGTTGAATTACTGACGGAACTCCAGTGTAACAGGAATTAGACGGCCTTACAGAATGCTCAAGGCATCCAGCGCCACTGGGGAGCAGATCTAGGGCAAGTATAATTCCTTAACCACGGTAAGAATGTTAACCGTAGCACTTAAATCAATTTAGGCTATGGCAGAGACGAAAGAAACACAGATTGCCGTGAGGAAAACAAGTATTCCTAACGCAAAGCCTTTCTCTGTTCCAGTTCAACTACGAAGGCTATGCATGGTGGGAAACCAATGTATAAAACCACTCCACTTGAGCACGCCAATTGTAGTACCAGCTCCCCCGTATACAGCTTGTCAACGTGATTAGCTCTAGCCTGATCATTGTTTTTTGCATAACTATTATATTGTGCTACTAAACTGTAAGGTTTGCTTGCTGCCCAACACCTTGCCGACAACATCATAGTGTAATCTTTTCGGCAGCCCCGCCAGCATGCAGCAATCCGCGCTGCGCGCTGCGTGGGCGCTGCCTTTGCAGCAAGCACGGGGAGCTCTACCGTCAGCGCTCCAACAAGCGCTTTCGTTGCTCACTCCTGCCTCGGCATCCCTTACTACGCCGACAGCGACGGAGTCATTGCCTCTTCCTTCCTCATCAAGCCAGCAGCTATATGTGCAACAACACAGCCTAAGATTTCCTAGCAATTGCTCGGCTTTTAGCACCGCATCAGCCTCCCAGCCGGCGCCATCCTCGGCCGCAGCCGCGACGGGCGCTTACTCGGTGGAAGTTGCAGTCCAGGGATTTGAGAAACGCTATGTGGAGATGGCGTGCAACACCATTGACGATATCGTCATGCTCGCGTTTGCCCCAAAAAGTTACTCGGCGATTCCCACAGGCGCCCCCGCCCCAGCTGACGCTCCGGTCAACTTAGCGTTTGGCGTCAAGCGCCGGGACATTAAGCTTCCCTGGCGCCGCACGCGCTTTACGGTCATTCGCGGCCCTCACATTGACAAGAAGGGCATGGAGCAATTCGAACGCCGCGAGTACAAGTCTGTGTTGACCGCAGCCACCAACAACGCAGCGGAGCTCACACGTTTCCTGGAGGCCCTCAAAATCTACCAATTTACCGGCGTCCAGCTCCGCGTCGACGTCACCAGCGCGCAACAGCTCGAATTGCCATCTGACCTCCAGGCCATGCTCACCGGCAGCGACTCCGCTCTCACCGCTGTTTCCTCCTCCTCCTCTCCGCAGCCCCAGCAGCAGCCGGTCTTGGGCAGCCCCGTGGCAACCATTCCCGCTCCTCGCAGCCCCGAGGCCATCTTCCAGGACGAACTCGCGGCGACATTGGATGTGCTGCGGCCGCTGGTGTGGACTGGACTGGAATCCCGCCGCCGTACCCTGGATGCCGTACCCGAGTACGCGGCATGGAAATCCAAACAGCAGAAGGCTGCCGTACTTCCGGGCGGTGCACCGGCGCCGGTTGCCGGAGAGGTTGCGGAGGAGGAGGAGCCGGAGGCGGCTGGCGGAGGCGATGTGTACGGCAGCCTGCTGCGTCAGCGACTCCGGCAGCAAGTGGAGCTCCTGCGTGCCGCAGGCGCGCCGGCTCCGGCGGCGGCGGACGGCGACGCAGCCTCGCCAACCGCCTCCTCCTCTGCGGCGTCGTACGGCTTAGATCCCACCGTAGCTGCAGAGCTTCTCGCGCGTATTGATTCCGAGCTCATTCGCGCTCATGAGGCGGCTCTGCAAGGCCTCCCGCCTCCTCCTCCCTCCTCCTCCTCCACCGCCGTAGCTGGCCCCCCAGCGGACCTGGACGCCAGCAAGATGACCCCCGCGCAGTACGTCCGTGCCGTACTGCAGTACGTGCAGTACGTGGACGAGCTGTACGACAGCAGCACCGGCGGTACGGCAGCTCAGCGGCGTGCTGACGCGGCCCTGCAGCTGGCTGCTCCCAGCCTGGCGCTGCGGCTGCTGCAGCTCTGGTGGTCGGCGACCAGCGTGGAGTTCAAGCAGCACCTGGCGCTGCCGCCCGCAGAGGTGGAGAAGCGCATCCTGGAGGACAGGCGGCGCAGGGAGGAGGCGGCCAAGGCGACTGGGGTGCAGGTGGGCGGTGCGGCAGCGGCGGCTGCAGCTGCGGCTGCAGCGGCGGCTGCGGCTGCTGCCCAGCCGCCGCCTCCGCAGCAGCAGCCGCCAGCCCAGCAGGCGGCGGGTCAGCAGCAGCAGCCTCAGCAGGGGGCGGGTCAGCAGGGGGGCCGTGGTGGCGGTCAGCGGGCGGAGCGGGAGCGGGGGGCGCAGGGGGGTCAGTGGCAGGGACGTGGGGAGCAGCAGTGGCGGCAGCAGGGGGGTCAGGGAGGTCCCCGGGGGCAGCAGGGGCAGCAGCAGCGGGGAGGAGGTGGAGGAGGAGGCAGGCCCTGGCAGGGGCAGGGACAGGGGCAGGGACAGGGGGGTAGGCGTGATGGTGGCCGGCAGAGGCAGCAGTAGATAAGCGGAAGGAATGGACGAAAAGGGACGGGGGGGGGCGGCGCAGGTATGGTTTTTGCTTGCTGGTTGCGGACTGTTCAATAGGTTGCGCAGCTGGCAATTGGAAGAGGCGGAAAGGGGATGCATGCGCCATGTTGTTAGGAAGGAGAGGGGTGTTAGGCCGGCCGGCCGGCGTGCAGCTCTTTCCCCCTGGGAATGACCCGTAGGACACTTGGATTGTGGAGGACGGTGTTGTTGGTAATGGTGTAGGTGGTAGACGGCGCTGAGATCGGTGGTGGATGGACGTAAAGGTGGTGATTAGAAGGTGGTCAGGGGCGTGTGTGGCGTACGCATGTGCGGCGGGGCAGCGAACGCGCTAGGGCTGCCAAATCATCTGTGAGTGTCAATGTGCCTGCGCCAAGAGGACGCTAAACTAACGGCGGCCATTATTGAAGTGCTGTAGTGGATAAGTGTCGCTGGCAGTTGCCATCCCAGGCACAACCATGCGGTGGTTTGCACACATGCGGCTTGAGTGGCCGAGGGTAAGCACCCTTGTAATAGGCTGGTTGAGGAAATGGGAACAGAGGCCGTAGATGCATGGGGGTCGGTATTACATGCATCACTTGAGGTTAGAATGTAGCAGCTGCTGCGCCATCAGCCCCTTGACATCCACTTTCCTAGCAATGCCCCGCAGCAGCATGCGGTCCGCAAACCCAAACCTTGCACCACCCTACGTACGGTACAGCAGTTCGGGTGGTGTTCCGCCACCGCATCGTTGCTAACCAGCAGTTCGCAGACAGGATAAAAAGAAACAGCTGAAACACAGAGGAAGAAAACACAGCCAAAAGGATACACGATGCGGGTATTGCTAGCGCATGCCCCTCTTGGTATGACAGTACAGTCGCCAGGAATCCGGGAGAACAAAAGCCAGCCTTTGGTCGGGGCGGGGGGGCACCGTACAACCCCACCCAATAAACCGAGAAACGGTTAACAAGGGGAACTCACAAACACACGAGACGGCCTAGCTCGAGTGTAACGCAGTGCAATTGCCAAAACGTACCGTACAACAATGTACAACAGGAGTAAGCGCGGCAGGTAGCTCCGGCCATCCTCACCAACATTTACCTACGCTATAATGGTTCTCTTCTCTTAGCTATAGGACTCTTGCTTCTCTTCTCCCTGCTAAACAATGCGGCTATGCGGCGAACATCCTAACAACCTAAACAGCTTTAACCTTGCAACATCATCAATGCGCTCCACACATGCCCGCCAGGGGCAATCGGTTGCATCCGCCGCCCTACCATGTCCTCCCGCAGCTGCTAGTAGTGTGGTGGTAGTAGTAGTGTGGTGCGCCTGCTTTAACGGGCGTACGTCATTTCATCCGGCATCCCCCTGGCATGCATCCCCTAGAACGCTTGTCATCATGACCCTCTGTGATGCGCGGTAGTTGCGGTGTGCGGTAGTTGCGGTGCTGCTAGTAGATATAGTGTTGGTGGCCCCCTAGTCACCCCCCCAGGGGCTACCGCCGCCATCGCTGGCCCCGCTGCTGCTGCCACTGCTGCTGCTGATGTTGACCAGGCGGGATATGGCGGTCAGCAGGCAGCACACGCGCCAGTACAGCGTGTAGAGTGTCGTACAGTCGTTGTACAGCGCCCACATCTGCGGTGGATTCGTGATGGGGAGGGAAGGTAGCACATGGGGAGTCAATTTAGGCCAAACCATATCAACATCCGTTGAGGAATGAGGCGGCAGGGATGGCACATGGGGGGCCATCCATGAGGAGGAGGGTTGAAGGGGGGCCCGGATGAGCAGCTGCTGCAGCAGCAGCAGCAGCAGCAGCAGCGGCAAGTGCCGCTCTTCCCCAACCCCGGCTCGAGCCATGGGCTTCGCAATCCAGCGCTTCACTTGTACTTGTGTACCCCCCGTTCCTCGTTCCCGTCCCCATATGTGCCCGGCTGTCTCGCTGTCCCCACCGCTGTCTTCCCTCTTTCCTCCCGCGGCCCCCGTGCCGCCCAGCTCCCGCACCCCACGTCACCTACCCAGGCGGGCCCCCCTGCTAGCACACCTCACCTTGTACCCCACATCCCGCTTCATGCGCCGCTGCAGCTTCCAAGCGGTGAAGGCCACCGCGTCCCGGTAGCGCTCGCAGCCGCGACGGTGGGCTAGCAGGCGCTTGGGGGAGGAGGGGGATAGATGGGGGTTAGAGGGGCTGGAGTCGTCCGATTGCGTAGAACTACTTGTATGTGTGAGTGGAGACGAGGGTCAAAAAGGGGGCGAATTATGAGGCCGCGTGGGGAGCACAGGTAGGTGAAGGGGTGTGGTGTGAGGAGGGCGTTGGAGGGTGGCAGGGAGTTCCGGGGTTTAGTTCTGTCGTCGTAACCGACGGCTGCGGTTGACCAGCGCTGCGCACCATGCGCACGTAAAGAGCACCTCAAAAACAGAGCAACATTTATTATTCTATGCGAAGTTACATTGCCATCCTCTTCTGTTTCTCGTTGTGCTAAGGTGCTGTCGGAAGCCCTAGCTCCTAGCATGGCATGCCGCGAACATTCAGACAATCACATACTCTACGGAAAAGATACATCCATCAAAGCCGTTTTCGACCAACCTCGGCATGGGCGTAAGCAGCGCGCTGGAGGCACTGGTTTGAGAAATGGCAACCGCTGCCCATGAACAACGGCACGGGCAAAACAGATACGGGTACCAGAAGCGGCATCATGTTGAATTCTGCATAGAGACTATGCGTATGCGTTGCCTCTTGCACGTCTCAGGGATTCACAAAGTACGATGACCAACGGTATTCTCCAACTAGCAACTTTACGCCAAGTTACTTGCATGCGCTGGATCACAGCCCCGATCGACTAATGCTTCGGATCAAGGGAGGTAAAGCTATTGGTGCCTTGATTGGCAACAGTCCTTATCTGCATCTTATCCTGCTGGCAACTTGCGCATTTGGAAGTGCGTGAACAGCGACATTTGTACCTAGTTGCAAACAGCAACCTAACAGTTTTAGGCCACCTTTGGACAACAATCTTACTGAGCCGCTCAGTAGCATTCCCTTGGTTCCTTTTTTGGAAGCTTGAGCGACAAACAACCGCCAAGAACTCTAATCTAACACAGCCTTTGCTTTGGATGTAACTGGAATGGCCGAAGCAGTGGCCGGCGGTAACGAGGAGGAGGTCTGCGTTACAGATATCTCGTGTGGAAGCTCTCACTCTGTCGCCCTGCTAAGTAAGCATTGTCCGAGCCCGATGAGTTCATTTTGCATTGGTCAGGGCGATCTTAAAGATTCCATGTCAAACGGCGCGCGTTCTTGTCTTTGACGGTTGGAGCATTGTGCACATTGGGCGGCGCCATATCCGCAATATACAAATTCCTCGAATTCTCTCCCCCCCAGGTTGCGACGTCGTTGCGTCGTGGGGTCGAGGCGAGGATGGTCAGCTGGGCCATGGGCAGGCGGATGAGTGCATGACTCCCAAGGCCATCAGCACATTGACCGACGCCGGAATCGAGCACGTCGTCTGCGGTGCCGAGTATACGGTTGCTGTGGCCCCTTCAAGGGGACAAATATACAGCTGGGGATGGTGAGTAACGAAGACACCCCTTCAGCCGCTACTAGCATGTGGGAATCGTTCTAAGTAGACAGTGTGCGTTGTACGACAAATATACATCTTACCACTCCACCATTACAAACTTATAAAACCAAACAGGGGTGACTTTGGTCGGCTGGGTCACGGCGACTGCAACGACGTGTTCGTGCCGCGACCCATCGCCTTCTTCACGGGTCGGCGTGTCCTCCGCGTGGCATGCGGCGATACACACACGCTGGTGGTGGTGGCAACCCCGGGGACCCCCGCTGCGGGCGGGGAGGGCACAGCAAACCCCCTAACAGCAACCGCAGCAGCAGCTGCAGGCCCCGGCAGCGGCGGCGGTGGAGGCGCGGGAGGGGAGTTGTACACGTTCGGTCGCAATCAGAACGGGCAGTTGGGACTGGGTCACACGCACGACTGCTTGTCACCGCAGCGGGTGGTGGCGCTGCAGGTGGGGCGGGGAGGGTGGGGGCGGGGGTGGTGGGGGTGGTGGGGTGGTGGTGGGGGGGGGGTTGGGTTGGGGTGGTCAGGGATAACGTAAGGAACTAGCCGTATGACAGTGGGGGGAGGGGGAGAAGGGGCGTGGGAAGGCGGGAAGGGTTTGGGGGGGATTGCGGACCGGGGGTTGTCTGTGGCTGACAAGGCCCCCGCATGCACGCTGGCATGCTGCTCGCGTGTGCATGTAGAGTAACGCGGCGCAAGGGGGATGCATCTAACTGGTGGGGAGTAGTTACGAGTGAGCCGCTCGTGGGCCTTGCACCCACCCAACCACAGCCATCACACATCTGGTTTCCTCCTTACACCCTCCTCCCCTGACCTTGCATGACCTTGACCTTGAAGTAGCAACCCATGGTAAAGCCTCGTCGTACAGCTCGTCAGTTTCCTCTGTTTACCCCCTGACCTTACACCCTCCCTCCCTCCCCCCCTGCCAGGGTGAGCGGGTGGTGAGTGTGGCTGCGGGCTCGGAGCACTCGCTGGCCACCACGGAGGGGGGCGCGGTGGGTGAGGGAGTGGGGGGGAGGGAGGGGAGAGGGTGGTGGCAGCGCGGGGGGGGGGGGAGAGGGATTAGAGATATAGGGGGGAGGTGAGAGGCGCCATTCAGCACTGCCCGTTCGCCTTGCTTGTCCTCGTAGTGTCCTCGGACGGGGCTTGACTCCATAGCTGACCCCGGTGCCCTCTACCGCCGCCTCCTCGCGCCTCCTGGCCACACAGCCACATCACCCTCTCCTCACCCTCTCCTCACCCTCTCCTCACCCTCTCCTCACCTCGCCTCCCTTGCTACCCCCTCCCCCCCCCCGCAGGTGTACTCCTGGGGCTGGGGGCGGTACGGCAACCTGGGGGATGGGGAGTCGCAGGACAGGTGGGGGGCGGGGGTTGGGGTGGGTTGGGGGGTGCTGAGGGTGGTGGTGGCATGGAGCGGGAGGGGAGGGGGAGAGGGTGCGGTGCTGGAAAGGAAGGGGTGTGGAAAGGGAGCTAGAGGGCGAGAGGGAGAGAGAGTGATAGGGGAATTGCGGTTGTGCACTCTCTCCCCCACGCATGAGCCACCACAGGTCATGGCGTGTATACACGCTACCCCCGCTTCTGACACCCCTCGACACCACTCTCCTCGCCTCATTGATTGCCTCTTAAGATGCATGGTTCCCCTCCCGCCCCCTCTTTCAACGCATTGGGTATTCGTTTCCCCTCCCCCCTCCCCTCCACTTATCATTTCTTCCCCTCCCCCCCCCAGGCACCTGCCCACCCGGGTGGTTGGGCTGGGTTGCGAGGTGGCTGTGGGGGCGGTGTGCGGCTGGCGGCACAGCGCGGTGGTGGCGGCCAGTGGGCGGGTGTTCACTTTCGGGTGGAGCAAGTACGGACAGCTGGGACATGGGGACTATGTGTGAGTGGTTGGGGGTGGGGTTTGGGGGGTGCCGGGGTGGGGCGGGGGTGAAGGGGTCTCCTCCGGTGGAAGCCGAAAAGCCGAAGAAAGGGGGAGCAAGAGCTGGAGAGGTGGTGGAGCTCGACTCCCACTGCCCCAGCCACCGACATGGCCCGCCCACACCCCTGAGCCGCATGGACAACAGTGTCTACCCCTTGCCCTACCCCGACTCCCCACCACACCTCTCCCACCCCTCCTCTCTTTCCCCGTCATTCCCCACTCCCCCTCAAATGAACCCAATACCCGCTATCCCGGCTCCCCTCTCCCCCCTCCCATTAGCAGCCAATGGTAAAACCACGTCATACAGTTCGTCAGTTTCTTAAATTTTACCCCTCCCTCCCCCCCCCTCATGCAGCGACCGCCCCCGCCCCACGCTGGTATCCTCGCTGCAGCACTGCCGCGTGGTGCGGGTGGCGGGGGGCTGGCGACACACGGTGGCGGCGGACAGCGAGGGGAACCTGTACGCGTGGGGGTGGAACAAGGTGCGGGGGGGGGGGGGTAAAGAGGAAACAACTAACTGACTGAGGGATAAGGCGTCAACATGGGTTGCAACATGTGAGCCAGCCCGACCCGCCCAGCCCAGGGCGGAGGGGGGAAGGGCGAGGGCACGGCTGTGTATTTGCCGATGTAATGCAACGCGGCCTTGGCCTCCCCCCTGGAGCTCCCTGCTCGCCTTCATGATCCCCTTCTTCTTCTGAAACCCCTTTCCCCCTGCCTTCCTTTCCCCCTGCCTTCCTTTCCCCCTGCCTTCCTTTCCCCCTGCCCCCCCTCCCCCAGTTTGGTCAGCTGGGTCTGGGCGATACCGCCGACCGCCCCGCCCCCACCCGCGTGCAGGGCCCCCTCGCCGCCCCCGCCCCCGCCCCCGGGGGGCCCCGCCGGGTGGCTGCGGTGGCGTGCGGGTGGCGACACACGCTGGCGGTGACGGCGGGGGGCGAGGTGTTCAGCTGGGGGCGGGGCGTGAATGGTCAGCTGGGGCAGGGCAGCGAGCAGGACCTGTGAGTGGGGGGAGGGGGGAAGGGGGGGGGAGATGGGCAGGGGGGAAAGGGGGGTTTGGGAAGGAGGAGAGTGGAGAAGAGGCAGGAAGGGGGTCAAACCAGGGGTAAGATGTGCCCTTGGCTTGGCTGCCCCCTCAGCTGCAGCTGCCCGCCCCCGCACTTGTTACTGACAACACCCCTCCCTCCCCCTCCCCTCCTGCTAGCCACGAGCCCACGCTGCTGGCCGCTCTGAGCCGCGGAGTGCTGCGGCGGGCTGACATCCTGTCCACCGCCGCCCCGCCCGCCGGCTGGGAGGAGGGCGAGGGGCGGGCGGGATATGTGGCGCCCGCGGACAGGTGAGGGTGCGGTTGCGGGCGTGGGGCGGGCGGTTGTGGGCTGGGGAGTGGGGAGCGGGGCTGCGTTTCCGCCTGTCCCCAGCAGAGGAAAGGGAAATGTGTGGGGAAGGTGGTTGCGGGCAAGCAAATCTATGTGCCGTACGCCGTACGGGGCTCCTTCCCTGATAATGTCATGCAAGCTGAGCCCCCTGCCCGGCAGTTCGATCCTGGCAGTGTCCTGTTTATTGTCAAACGGGTATCCTGCCCCTTCACCGAATGCGTGTGGGTTCTGCCGTACACTGCTGCTGCTGCTGCTGCCGTACTGCATGCTGCCCCGCAGGTACGCAGTGGTGCCGGGGGCGGATGAGCCGCTGCTGTACGGCAACGGGGGGTCGCTGGGGGCTGTTGTGGCGGCGGCAGCTGCCGTACCCAGCATGCCCATGGTACCGCCGCTGCTGCCGGAGGTGCAGCAGCAGCAGCAGGGTGCGGGTGTGGGTGAGGTGCAGGGGGAGGAGGAGGTACGGTCGCCCAAGAAAGCCAGGACTAGCTTGGAGGTGTAGGTAGCACACCTACATGGCGTTGCTTGGGAGGCAGCATTGCGCTGCTGGAAGGGAGGCCGGGGGGGAGACGTGGGAGGTTTGCCTCTGCGGGTTGGGGGTTGAGGGTTGAGGAGGGGTTGGTTATGCTGAACCAACTGTGTGGAGGGGCTTGCTGGCTTGTTGGAGCGGGAGCGGATTACACACGGGAGAGGAAAGACCTGATACCCTTTGGCTCCTTTCGGAGTTAGACGGACAGGAGATGTACGAACGGGGTGATGGTCGTCTGTGCTGGCTAGGCTGAGACGTGGGGGAGGCTTGGGGAGGCTTGGTGGGCTTGGGGGCAGCTTTGTGTTTAGGTGGAGTGGTGTTGGAAGGCTGAAAGCTTGAAAGCCGCTGCTGTCAATATCCAAGGCTTTCTGTCTGCGTTCGTGTTTGGGTGAAACGTGGTTGTGGACGACACCCGTCCACACAGACACACGCAACGCGGCTCAGTTGCTTTTAACACACTCGGTTTTGCGCGATTGCCCGTGTGTTTGGGCGCATGGCAGCGTGCATGCGCAGGAGTGCAGGCAGACGACATGGCTTTTTGTAACTTCCTTCCTGCCGAGCCTCTGCTGTATCATCCCGGTGCAACAGCAAGAAGTGGGGGATCGACAACCGTATGACCCGGCTGGTCTGGATAGGTTGCCACACGAAAGCAAATATGCGTTCAACACCGTTGCAAAGCCGTAGCATTACATAAAAGCAGCAGCGTGACGCCGCCAGCATAGCCATCTTCCGCCTATACATACAAGAATGAGCGGCAGCAGCTCCTGACACCACATACACAGGACCCGATGTACCCAATGTGCGTATGTGTGGGCCCCACATACCCGCCCATACGGGCGTCCCGTACCTGGACGCCCGTATCTGGCAGTAGGCCCTGCCAACGACCCACCACCAATTCCGCCTCCACCACATTCCCCTCTCTCATTTCGTCATAACAAGCCATACACGCTCGGTCTGTCTCTCCATACACGCACCTCACTTCCCTCGCTCACTCCCTCACCCCCTCGCGTGGTTTTATTTCCTACCCTCCCTACCCTCCTTAACCTACTTCCACACCACCCCTCCAAAATACTGCAGGGCCGGCAGCCCCCGCACCTCCAGGTCGCACAGCGGGCCCGTGATGAGCTGTAGCGAGGACAGACCCGTGGGTCCGCCGTCCTCCGCCAGGTGCTGCAGCGCGCGGGCCTGGTCAGCGCGGCGGGCGGCAAGGAAGCGCTCCGTGGCGTTGGCCTGGACCACCTGGGGGGCCGGGGGGGAGCGGTGGGAGGGGAGTAATGTGAATTATCAGTCGCACTGCGCGGTATGTGTTAGGTTGTGGTGGTTCACATTGGTTCTGCTCGGATGAGTGCAGTGGTATGTGCCGTACACTCGTACCTGGTTGACGATGATGGTGCGGAGGGGAATGCCCTCTTGCTGCAGCGCTGCAGCGAGCCTGGATGGGTTTGGGATTGGGGTGGGGGTTGGTTGACGGGCTGTAGGTGGGGGGTTCCAGTAGGGTAGCTAGATGGAGGTGAAGGCACACTGCGGCATGCTGAGGCCATGGCACGCCATGCTGAGGCCATGGCGTGGCATGCTGAGGTCATGACGTGCCATGCTGAGGCCATGGCGTGGCATGCTGAGGCCATGGCGTGGCATGCTGAGGTCATGGTGTGGCATGCTGAGGCCATGCCGAGGCCATGACGTGCGTGGCACACTGTGGCCATGTGTGGCATGCTGAGGCCATGGCGTGTCATGCTGAGGTCACGGCGTGCCATGCTGAGGTTATGACGTGGCATGCTGAGGCCATGGCGTGTCATGCTGAGGTACTGACGTGGCATGCTGAGGCCATGGCATGGCATGCTGAGGCCATGGCGTGGCATGCTGAGGTCATGGCGTGGCATGCTGTGGTCATGGTGTGGCATGCTGAGGTCATGGCATGCCATGCTGAGGTCACGGCGTGGCATGCTGAGGTCATGGTGTGGCATGCTGAGGTCATGACGTGCCATGCTGAGGCCACGGCGTGGCATGCTGAGGTCATGGCATGCCATGCTGAGGTCACGGCGTGCCATGCTGAGGTTATGACGTGGCATGCTGAGGCCATGGCGTGTCATGCTGAGGTAATGATGTGGCATGCTGAGGTCATGGTGTGGCACGCTGAGGTCATGGCATGCCATGCTGAGGTCACGGCGTGCCATGCTGAGGTTATGACGTGGCATGCTGAGGCCATGGCATGGCATGCTGAGGCCATGGCGTGGCATGCTGAGGTCATGGTGTGGCATGCTGAGGCCATGCCGAGGCCATGACGTGCGTGGCACGCTGTGGCCATGCATGGAATGCTGAGGCCATGGCGTGTCATGCTGAGGTCATGGCGTGACATGCTGATGTCACGGCATGCCATGCTGAGGTTATGACATGGCATGCTGAGGCCATGGCATGGCATGCTGAGGTCATGACGCGCCATGCTGAGGCCACGGCGTGGCATGCTGAGGTCATGGCATGCATGCCATGCTGAGGTCACGGCGTGCCATGCTGAGGTTATGACATGGCATGCTGAGGCCATGGCGTGTCATGCTGAGGTAATGACGTGGCATGCTGAGGCCATGGCATGGCATGCTGAGGCCATGGCGTGGCATGCTGAGGTCATGGCGTGGCATGCTGAGGTCATGGTGTGGCATGCTGAGGTCATGGCATGCCATGCTGAGGCCATGCCGAGGCCATGACGTGCGTGGCATGCTGTGGCCATGCTGTGGCATGCTGAGGCCATGCTGAGGTCATGGTGTGGCATGCTGAGGCCATGACGTGCCATGCTGAGGCCATGCTGGCCCTGCCCCTCTGTCCCTGCCCCTTGCCCCCTGATCAGTAAGTCTTTTGCTGTTTTAGCTTAATATATAAAGCTGGCCGGAAAGGATTACGTTGGTAGCCATGCTGCAACCCAGGTTGGAACCTTGCAGTACAGTTAATTAGTTACCTCCACTCCTCTTTATCCACTTGCCCCCATCCCCCCCAACACTTCCCCCTGCACCCCACCTGCAGCTCTCCGCTGTGGCCATGACGGTGGGGATGGTGACGATGATGAACTCGGTGGTGGCGGGGTTGCGGAACAGCTGCTTGGCCTCCTCCATGCGGGCCTAATGAGGGAGCAAGGGATGGGGGGGAGAGGAGGGCAAGATGGGGCTTACTTGAAAGAGGGGAGCCGGAGCACGTGAGTGGGATTTTGGACATGCTGACATATCCAAACCCACCCCAAAATACACCTTCGTCCACCCCCCTACAACGGGCGGCCACATCTAAACAGCACCCTTCCCCCCTCTGCCGCCATTCTCCCCCAGTCCCTCCCCCCCACCTGCAGCTGCTCCAGCCTCTTCACCGCGCTGTCCTCCTCCCCACCCTGCCCCCCTCCACTGAAGAAGGAGCGCACCGCACTGGTGGCCCCGGCCAGCTTCTGACGCAGGCGAACCAGCTTGCCTGGGGGGAATGGGGGGTTTAAAGTGGATGGGGAGAGAGGCGAGGGCAGGATGTATGGCAGGTTGGACCTGGAGTGGTTTGCAGGTAGGTAGGTAAACGTCATGCACACGCCTACCCTATGTGCACGTAATCTGATTGTAGAAAGTAGGCAGGCCATGCCACGTGAACCCACGAACCCCACCGTCCGACCCCCCTCAAGCTCTCCCTCCCCCAAACCCCTACCCAGCGACGCGTCTAGGAAGTCTGGCAGCGACAGCAGCCGCAGCGTGTGACCAGTGGGTGCGGTGTCGAAGATGATGCGCTTGAAGTGCGCGTACTCGGGGGCCTTCAGGAACTGGACTACCTGGGGGGGAGGGGGGGGGATGGGGAGGGGAAGGGGCAGTGAGGGTGTGGGGACAGGAGCGGGAGTCAGCGGGGTGGTGAACAGGGGCCGGTGTGGAGCCCGAGGTCCCCCAGCAGGGGAAACCCAAATGGTGGACCTGTTCTTCTGCCCCCTCCTCTTCTGCCCCCCCCTCCTACCCCTCCTGCTCGCTCCTCCCTCACCTTGGAAATGGCGATGGCCTCGTCCACCCCCGGGGGCGGTGTGTCCAGCAACTCGCCCAGCTGCAGGTCCTGTAGGGAGGAGGGAGGGGAGGGCGCGGGAGAAGAGGTAGGGTTGAAAGGGGGACTTCGGATAGCAGGGTTGTAGGCCACAAGGATGTGGGGAGCCACCCCCCTGCACCGCCTAGCCCCCTGCACTCCCTCTCCCCATGCACCACCTAGCCCCCTGCACTCCCTCTCCGCCTGCACCCCTGTTCCCTGCCCCTCTCACCTTGAGTTGCTCGCTGACTATCCCCAGGCCCAAGCCATCCAACACCTGCAGTGGGTGGGTGGGTAGGCGGGTTCAGGAGGGGGGGTTGAGGAGTAAGAGCAGCGGGCTAGGTCCTTCCACCCGCAGCACTGCACTGCATGCGGGCACAGTGCCAGCAGGCACAGGAGGGTGGTGGTGGTAGTGCCGTACCGCTGCTCATCACTGCTGCACCAGCGGCACCCACCCCCGCCCCCTCCCACCTCGTCCCCGTCAAACCCACCCCTCCCCCTCCCACCTCGTTCAGCTTCTTGCCCCCATCGTCCGCCAGCACCTCCCGCAGCTCCTGCTTGGCCTGGGGGTGTGGCGCGTGGAGATGGGGGGCGCGGGGGATTAGGTAGAGGGGAGGGGAGGGGGTTGCGTGTGTATGTGGAGTTGCTCCAACATCCACAAAAGGTTGCCCCTAGGGCTTCGTCTATAAGACTGACTCTTTTCCTTCTTCTCCCCCACCTCCTTTCCTCTCCCCACGTGCTCCATCCCCTCCCTCCCTCCCCCCCTCCCACCTGCTCCGGGTCCAGCTGCAGGCCCCACAGCGGCAGCTCCTCACCGGTGGGGGAGGTCACCCGCACGGGGGTGCCCCCGGACAGGTCCTGGGGGGGCAGGGGCACATACACACAGCAGCTTAGTAAGCAGGGGAGCTGCGGGACCTCCCCAGTGAGCATGCTTGGAAGTTGCTCGTGGCTCCATTCCTCCAACCCCCCCCCCACGTTCGGTGTGTTTAATCGCGGTTCAGGAGCTAGATTACTCCCCCCCCCCCCTCACCCCTCTCACCCTGTTTCTGACCCGCCCATCCCCAAACCCCCAACCCAGCCCACCCCACCTGGTCGAATGCGTCACTCAGCGAGTGCGCCGGATCCGTGGACACCACCAGAGTGGGCAGCCCCTGCCCCGCCATCCGCACTGCTAGGGAGGCGGAGCAGCTGGTCTTACCAACACCGCCCTTGCCGCCAAGCAGGATATACCGGCGGTCGGCACCTGGGGGAGGAGGGGGAAAAGGGGCGGGAGGGATGGGGAGGGGCGGGAGGGGGAGGGAGGGAGTGACGCAGGGGTTTAGGAGGCCTGATGCATGCGCGCTACTGTGCTGCTGGAAAGGGGATTTGGTTGGAATGAAGGGAGGCATGCAAGACCTCCTGCCACGCACGCACACCCCCCTGCAGCTGCTGGCCCGTCCCTGCACCTCGGCTTTGCAGCACCTCCCCCAAGCAGCAACACGCCAAGCACGACAACAGCCCCGCTACACACCCGTACCCCCCACTCCACGAGGCTCTATCCCAGGCCCCCACCCCCCACCTCCCACCCTCCTCATCCGGTCAGCTAGCGTCTTCCTCTTTACTACTCCCAGCTACCAACCCCCCCAGCTCCCACCCCCCCTCACCCTCGTTCATGCTGTCGTACACATCCTTCCACACCACATTGCCAAAGTAGGCAAGTGCGGGCACCCCCCGCACCTCCACATCCACCATGGGGGCGATCACCTGCAGGGGGGGGGGGCAGGGGGGGCAGGGGGGGAGGGGGAGGGTCATCAGCAACTAAGCGTCCAAACCATACAGTGACCCCTTCCCCGCTCCCCCCTTCCCCCTCGTCAGTGTCTCATTATTTGTTCCCCCTCCCTCTCACCTTCCTCAGGGGCCTTATGCCGGGGTCCGCTGCCACCATCTCCAACGCCGCCACCTGGTCCCGCATCTTGAGACGCAGGTAGGCATCGCCCTGGGCGGGGCCCACCACCTGGAGGGGAGGGGGAGGGGGGGAGCGGGGAGAAGAGAGGGGAGCATGGAAATGGGGGTGCGCGCAGTGTTGGCGGGGAGGTTGGTATGGGTTGTTGGTGCAGTGAGGCATGAGTAAAGGGTATGAGTATGTGGGTGAGGTCTGAGCTACCCGCAGCATTTCCCCCCCCCTCTCCCCCTTCTCCCCCCTCCCTCCCTCCCCCCACCTGGTTGACCACGATGCGCTTGCAGGGGATGTTCTCCGACCGCAGAGCGCGGAGCAGCCTTGGGGAAGGGGAAAGAAAGACGGGGAGGGATGGAGGATGGTCAGGGGACGAGGAGAGGTTCATGTAGGACGTGAGGAGGACACGCGGGCACGCTAAGAAGATGCCTGACCATGACCACCCGCCCACTCTTCCTTGCCAACCTCCGCACACCTCCCCCTTACCCCTTCCTCTCCTGCACCCTCCACTCTCCCCCTCCCACCCTACTCTCCTCCCCTCCCCTTCTCACTTATAAAAAATGTTTCCCCTCCCCCCTCCCCCCCTACCTCGCGCTCTCATTCACCCCCAGGAATGTGGGTATGGTGGCGATGATGAACTCCGTCTGACCGGGGTCACGGAACAGCTGCCGTACCATCCGTACGCGGCTCTGCAGCACCTCCAACCGCTGTACGGCCTCGTCCTGATGGAGGTGGGGTGGAGGGGGAGGGGAGAGGACGGGGAGAGAAGATGGGAAGAGAAAGCTAATAGCTGACCGTGTGATCATGGCTTCGCCACGGGAGGGAGGCATGGAGGGGCTGGGTCACAGGCAGCCAGGCAAGCGGGCTCTCCTAACCAGCGGGAGCACGAGAGGCATCCGTGGCACCGCTCGTGTCTGTCGTACAGCACCGCCGGATACCCTTCATTACCCCCCTCCCCCCCCCACCTGGCTGTCCCCCGCGCCGAACAGCCCCCGCACCACCGAGGTGGCGCTGTTGAGCTTCCGGCGCAGACGGATGACCTGTTTAGAGGGCGGGAGGGGAGGGGGGAGGGAGAGAGCGGAAGAGACAAACACAGTGGGGAGAGGGGAGGGGACTGGACCCTGAGGCCCACGGCCAGCGAGGTAAGCACCACCCTCCCCATACCGCTACCCTGCTGATCTACTGCTCCCAGCCTCCCACCCCGCCTCCTTCCTTCCCACTTTCATGGACCCCTCCCACCCTTGCCTCTCTCTACCCCCCTTTCCCCCTCCCCCCCACACTTTGGAATTTCTTTTTTCCCCACCTTCCCCAGCGACGCCTCCACAAAGTCCGGCAGGCTGAGCAGCCGCAGCGTGTGACCGGTGGGGGCGGTGTCGAACACGATGCGGCTGAAGCGAGCGTACTCGGCGGACTGCACGAACTGAACCACCTGGGGGGGAGGAGGAAAGGTGAGAGGAGGGGAGGGGGAGGAGGGTGGGGTTACCGAGGGTGGGAGGAGGCAACCAGGGACGGGGCGACGCAAACACAACACCAGCAGGACAGCTGCAGCACAGGGTACTTATTCCTCCCCTCCGCCCCTCTCCCCCCCCCGCCTTGTCATACAGCTCGTCAGTTGCTTCGTCAGTGTCTCATTCCATTTTTTTACCCCGCCTCTCTCCACCCCCCCCCCACCCCCGCCCCTACCTTGGCCACCGCCACCGCCTCATCCAGTCCGGGGGGCGGCGTGTTGAGCAGCTCACCCAGCTTCAGGTCCTGGGGAGGAGGGGGGGGGATTGGGGTTGGGGAGGGGCGATGGGTTGGTGCATGCTTGTGTACGAATGTACGGCACATATACAAGGGTACAAGCAATACATACCATGAAAGATACAAGGTAAGGCAGCCGGGGTGGCTCTGCTGGGCCCAGCTGGGTGTCAGCCACGGGGGGTAGGTGGGGCACCTGCTGAAGGGCAAAGGAGCACCACCATTTTCCCCCTCAAGGAGAGCTCCAGGCACAGCATCTCCCCCACCGCTATCTCTCCGCCCCCATCCTGATCCCCCACCTTGAGTTGGTCCACGATGAAGCCCATGCCCATCTTGCTCATGAAGTCGCCCACCTGGGGGTGGGGGAGGGAGGCACCGAGGGAGGGGACACCGCGGTAGGTGGCATGCGGGGTTAGTGTTGAGTGCGTGGCTGCCCCAGGGCTGAAGCGAGGCATCAGCCCCCACAGCGGCAGCGACAGCGGCCCCTTAACACGCTCCCCACCCGTCCATGGCGACCCACTTATCACGGCTAGGCATGGACCTTGTAAACCAGGCAGGTGGTTGTGCGCTACGGGAAGACTGACCGCGGGGACGAAGAAGGGTGCAGCAAGGGTGCAACAAGGGGTGCGCACTTACTGACTCACACCCTACTCCCCCCTCCAACCCCCCACCCCGCCCACCACCCACCTGTGCCGCGGCGCTGGGTCCCCCTCCGCCCCCCTCTCCGCTTCCGCCCCCTTCCGCTCCTCCTGCTCCTGCCCCTCCCCCCAGGAACTCTCTCTTGGCCTCTTCCGGGTCAATCTCCAGCCCCCACAGAGGCAGGTCGGAGCCCTGCAGCAGCACCGGCCGGCCGCCGCTCACATCCTGCAGGGGGGGAAGGGGGTAATGAGGAAACAACTAATGGACTGTGTTATAAGGCCCAGCATGGGGGGAGGGGTTCCATGCAGGAGCGGGGGGGAGCGAGAGGGGCAGAGAAGAGGAGGAGGAAGGGGGGGGGAAGGGATGGGGAAGGCGAAAAGGGGAGCGGGGCGATTTGCATTGGCAGGAGGGAGAGCGGGGGACGGACAAGCTGCTGCTGCTGCGCAAACCCCCCTTTCTTGCGCCACCCAATCCCCACCCGTTCCCTCTCGCCCCATTACACACACCCTCTCCCAACCTGCGCCAGCGAGTCACTCAGCGAGTGCGCCGGATCAGTGGACACCACCAGAGTGGTGTGCCCCGCCGCCGCCAGCCGCACTGCCAGGGAGGCGGACAGACTGGTCTTGCCAACACCGCCCTGCAGGGGGGGGTTGCAGGGGAGGTGCGGGTGGGGGTGTTCAATCAGAATGCAGGTGGAGGGGGCGCCGTGGGGGGCAAGCGGGTGGGGCGGGTAGGGAAGCAGCAGCTTAGGGGCCCTGGTTGGGGGCTTCCTAGCGTCTCAGGCGGGACGGTTGAACTCCCGGCTGCCCGTACATGCCCCCGTGTGAATCCAGCCGTACTACCGGTATCCTACCCGCCAACCCACCTCGGGGCCTCCTCTACCCCTTGCCCTGCCCTAGCTTGCGGTTTGACTGGGAACTGGATGTCTTGCTTTTTTCCGCCCCCCATTGGGTACCCCGCAGTACCCCGCCCCGCCCTGCCGCCCCGCCCACCTTGCCGCTGATCATGATGTACTTGCGCTGCTGCCCCGCAGCCAGCTCCTCAAAGCAGCTGGGGCCGGCGGCAGCAGCGGCGGTGGCCGGGTCTGGACCGCCAGCAGGAGATGCAGCGGAGGGAAGGGGACCGCGAGGGGAGGGGCGCAGGAGGGGGCGGGCGCTGGTGCGGCGAATATCCTGGATGAATAGAAATCAGTGGGTTAACGTGTGTGGTGGGGTTGCAACCGCGGGACCCCGGTTGGTCGCGAACATTCCAACTCAGTTACGCATGGCATCCAACGTGTCTTTCTTACCTTTGCCATGTTCCCAGTGTTCGATAGCAAATTGCATTTATCTTGAATCGCAAATAGCTCCATATGTCTTCTGTGCGCTCTGGTAGCAACGCCTCGTGGCTGGCTAACTCCGCTAGATTGCACCGACTCGGCAGCCGGTCTCATACGGATCACTTGATGGCCCCAATGTAGAGCCATGGTGAAGTATAACCAGTGACTCTAGGCCGTGAGTAACTTGCGTACTGTGGTGTTGCAAATGCTGCTGTGAAACTGGCCACCGGTGCGCGTTTTAATGGTATGGTGACACACCTAAGCTTTTTGCAATGTATTATATATAATATTTGCTATTGGTGCATCCTCAGGGAGTGTCTTCTGCAAAATTCGCGGCCGATGGCAGTTGGTGGTGCGAACCGGTGGTAGCTATGCTTGCACCATTATTTCAGCTGTCCTTCCTTCCTTTCCCACCAAGTTCGCTGGTGCGGCGAGCAGCCTGCTTGTATGACGCTTTTCTCCACCAAATAAACTGTCCTGCGTGGATCTGTTCCTCTTAGCCCTCGTCAAGAACCTTAGCTGCCAAGCACCTTGTTTGCCGTCAACTTGCAAATACCGCGTTACAAACAAACGATGCCCCGTTGAGGGGGCAGAGGACGCCATGGGCCAAACCAAGTACGAATCCTACCGGTATTGCGGCAGGATGGTGTACAACACCGCGAACCCTGTACCGTACGTACAACGGTTACCTCGCCCTCTCAATACATCCCCATGCAGAGCCCTCTCCTCCTTTCAAGGATGCCAAGGGTCAGCAGTTCTCTTACGGGCAACAGACATACGAGAGCTTATACATAATGTGTGTCAAACACTTTGAAGGTGACTAACAACCGTGAATAAAAACTAATTGGCCTCATTGGACCCACTGAGCAACGGACTCAAGGAACTGCCGACCGGCGACCAACAGCCCCGCTACAGGCAAACCAGTGCCCTCAATGCTCGCGGACATGACTACCTTGACCTACGCCTGACCGATACGCTTAAGCTCGTCCACTTGCCACTCATCCGCTAAAACACGCGCTCCCTAACTCTCTTTACTCTCTCTCACCCCTCTCACGCTCAACAAACGATATTGATAAATCCTCTTCTCACTTCTCCTGAAACCCGTCACGACATTCATACGAGGAAGTCGCAATGGCCGTACGAGTCGTACTGCGTTCGCCTGACTCCTCCGCCGTACGTCCCGCTTCGGAACCGTTCCTTCATCAATAATGCTGATATGCGTCTGTTCTGGTACAGACGCCATACCACCTATTCCTACTTACCAATGCGCGAGTAAGTCAGCAGGAGCATAGACCCAAGGCTCGGTCATGGGATTGAGACCGGCCTCGAACAAGCATGAAACCCTCCTCCTCCCCTCCCAACGTCGCTACGAAACGGTGTAATACCTCAGCTGCTCTTCGCCCACCCTACCTCTCCCATATCCCTCTCTTCACAACGCCAAATTATTTCCCTCACCCCTCTCCCTCGCAGCCAAGTAAACACCAGCGCACACCCCTCCCGCCTTACGCCTGCGTGAGGTAGGCCAGCAGGCCCAGCGTGACGGCGATGGCGGCCCCGGTGGCGAGCAGGAACTCATTCTGGCCCCTGTGGGTGGGAAGGAGTGAGGGTGGGGGCGAGGCCAGGTTATGACAGTGCTGTGGCACGGTTGCATGGCAGGTGTAGCCGTGCACCTCAACTTACCTGGCTATGGCATCATGAGGGCGACACCTCGACCCACCGTGTCCCTGGCTTCGCTTCCTGCCCCGTCTGCAGACCCCAAACCTGTAGTCCTCATACCACTTCCACTTCCAGCTTGGGTATTCCTTACTTTCCCCCCAGCTGCACCCCCCCTGGCCCACTCACTCGTCCGGGTTGCCTCCCTCCGCGGCAATCTGCGCGCGCAGCTTGTCCTTGCGAGCCACCATTGACTTGGGGTCGTTGCCGCGCAGGCTGTTGCCGCGGAGCTCCTTGAAGCTGAGGGAGCGGACGGGGTGAGGGGCGGGGTGGGGGGAGGGTTGTGAGGTGAGGGTGAGGGTTCGAGAGAGGTGCGAGGTAAAGAGGTTGTGAGAGAGAGCCTGAGGATGCTCTACGCTAGGTAACGGTCAGAAGGATGGGTGCAAACCGGGGAGCGCTAAAGCTAGGCGGGGACAAGATATTAAAGGGACAGTTAATGACAAGTGTGCTAGGATTGAGCTAGCTTACCGGCGCTTTGGCGCTCCGCACACTGGGCAGGAGTAGGATTTGAGGCTCTCGAATGGAGCGGCATCATCGTAGAGGTAGCCGCAGTCGAGGCACACGTAGGCGACCTTGGTGGAGGGCTTGGACTTGGTGAAGATGGCGCTCACTGCGACTCGAGGCTGGCGGGATACAGCGCTACGAAGAGCCGGCTGAAGCGCAAATCGTCGCCATCAATCGGCAAGCAAAGTTTGTTGGGACAAAGGAAAGGGGGGAACGGCAGAAAGGAAAAGTGAGCGACCAGCTATATAAATTTCAGAAAAGCGCCCTGACTGAGTAACTGAGCTGCAAGTGTGAGTTGGCTTAGTAGGATCCACGTAGCAGTCGCTCAAGCAAGCACTGCGCCGCTGCCGAGTATGGCTTGCTGGGCGCCAATAGGTGACTTCAGAAATTATAGTGCGACCAGTTGTATAATAAGCGCCCGGGTTTGACGGCAGAGGTCGTCCCCACGTCAAAGCCCATTTACCCCGCACAGGGGATACTTTTCTTGCGTCTTACAGATACTAATGTCCTTGCGGTGCCTTGCGGCTCACCTTCATGGCAGTGCGGTTGCCCACGAAAGCGGTGGACTGCATTGCTGCCATTTTAACCTGGCTTATAGAACTTGTATGTAGGTCTAACAACGTATTGTATGCTGGATATACTTTATCTGCCAATGGGAGGAATTAACCTATAGAACATTCGGTCAGGCCATTGCCGTACAAAGGCGTAGATAAGCCTGTGGCGATCGCTGCTGCAGTACCCGTATGGCGCGCTATACCTCTTGCTTGGTCAACACTTTGTGGCTCTCAGTTGACGCTTAAAAGTACTTATAGTAGCTTATTGTTGACGCTCAGAAGTACTGGTAACGTTCACCGCTTTCATCGGGCCTGGATTCGACGGCCGTTCGTATTGATACCTGTCCTTACCCTCATATACGGTTGTGAATCGTTATCCTGGTGGTTTGAAAAACTCCTGCAGTCCTGCTGAAATTCGGGCCACAGTTGACCAGCTGGAACCAACTACCCTTCCTGGAGAGGAACCTGGCAAAAAGACCTGCAAGCCCCCTGTCGACCAGCCAACTCTTTTCGGGCAGATACCTTACTCTGGCATTCTCATCCTTCCGAATGCTGGTGCCGTGCATGCCATCCATACTAAGTTATTAACACACGCCATCCTGTGCGAATACCGGTCCTGTCGCCCATGCGCATGTGCACATGCCGTGCCGTGCCCTGGCCTTCCAAAGCACTGGCACATGCATCTCCGCCCTGCTAAAGTGCACACCCGTGCATGCAGCCATCCCCACTTCACCTGACTGTCGGCCCCATACACGCAGGCATCACTGCATTGCCCTACTACAGTAACAGCAGCCATAGTGTGCATGGCATGCCCCATGCATGTAGACTTCACCGCCATGCCCAAGCCTGGCGTCCACACACGCATGCAACCTCACCATACCGGGCAATCGGGCCCCCCTGCGTGCTGGCATCGCCCTGCTCAACCTCTGCCCTGCCAAACACTGGCGCCCACATGCGCAGCCTGCCCTACGTGCAGGCTTCCCTGTCCCTCAGAAATGCCGCTTCATAAACGCAGGTGTTCTAGCCCCGCTTAACCACCGGCGCCTGAGCGCCGCACAGGCATCCCCACCCTATCAAAGCACCAGCACACATGCGGGCAGGCAACTCCTCCCCTCATAAACTCCGGCTCGCAAGGGAGAAGGCTCTTTAGCACACCGGCTTCCCTGCGCCGTACAGTGCCCAAGCCCGTCATGCCCATGAAGGGCGGCAAAGCAGTTGCTGCTGCCGCGGGCCGGAAGCTGCGGGACATGTCGCCGACCCGCCCGACCGTCCAGCAAAAAGGTTAACCATCACAGTAGGAGGGTGCAAATGAATTGGTCGGCCATGCTGTTATCCTTGGAAACTAGAACAACCGCGTCAGACGTCCCTTTATCAGCAATAGCCTTTGGTAACAATACGAATGCACATGCACATGCAGACAGCCGAGTAGCAAGTACACAAACGTTCACACAAGTTAGGAGCACCCGACCACGGCAGCACCCTATTATTCACCCCCAAGAACAAGGCAACCTCCCGAAACCCTAAAACCCAGGCGACCCCTACAGTTTCTGATTCTTTTTCCTTCTCACAGGCGACCCCTTGGCCGCCTCATAGGCCCGCATCATGGTCTCGTATGCCTCCTCGTAGGGGCGCCGTTCCTCCGCTGTCAGCTCCCCCCATTTGCTAGACAGGACTCTGAGGTTATCCCGGCTGCAGGTTGCTCCCCACTCCTTCGCGCGCTTGCTGTTTTGTGATATGAAGATGTGTAACGCCGATGGCGGCCGCTTAGCCTTGTTAGCCGCCCCAACGCTCGCTAGTGTTCCAGTAGGTGTTGCCATTGCTTGCTGTGCTGCGCCACCCAGTCCAGCCCCTGCACTTCCTGGTTGTTGCTGCTGCTGCCGATGCAACAACGCCAATCCCGAGGCGGTTTGCAACGCAACCGCTGCCGGCAATCCGCGCCCATGTAGGATAGCCGCCAGGCCCTGGACCCAAGCGCTGTCCAGCCCGGCTACTGCTGATGCGCTGACTTGCGTTACGCCCGACCCTGGCCCTGGTGGTCCTGCGCCCACCTCACGCGTCTGAGGTCCCACCAAGCTGCAGCTGCCCGATGTGACGCCGCCAGTTGCTGCACCTTCAAATGCAGCGAAGAGGCTCGCAGGTCGCATGGCTGCCTGCTGGGATGGCGCCCTGCCCCCTTGCGCCGGCATGGGCAGGGGAGCGGGACCTGCCATGGGCAATGCACCTGGCGCCGGCGGGGGCTGGGCAGCTGGCGCCGGCGGGGGCTGGGGAGCTGGCGCTGGCGGGAGGTGTGGCGCCGGCGGGGGCCCAACGTCAGCCACATCTGCCTCGCCACTCGCCGGGGTGATGTCCGTCGACCAGTTCTTGCGCCGTGGCTTTTTCGCCGGCGACACGAAGTCTGGCGGCCGTTCCGTCAGCACGTATGTACGGAAATCCTTTCCCTCTGGGCCGCCGAGCGACTGGCTGATGTAGCTACGGAGCTGATCCAGGCTGCTGAGTTGTGACCCGGCTACCTTGACCACACCGTCCTGCCTTAGCTGCAAGAATGCCATCGCGTCATGGTAGCTGCGCTGCCGCACCTCCTGCGTCTTGATGACGACCCTAATCAGGAAGAGACGCTCAGACCACTTCTTCTTGGCGCGCTGCTGCGGATACCGCGAGTCCTTCCGCCACGCTGGCCCCCACTTGAGCTCCAAGTCGGAAAGGGCTGGCACGCGTCGGCCCCACACGACATCGCCATCCAAGTACTCTCGCGCGATCTGCAATGGGACAACCGCAAGTCACGGTACAATACAATGACCAAAAGCCTAGCATGCATGCACGACATACCATGTCGATGCACTCTAGAGTCTATGGCAAAAGACCTAAGTTGACAAGCCGTTATGTCCATGAATGTACCGTACGCCACACCTGCTCGATCTTCGTGTGGCGTTCATTCCACGGTAATCGGCCCGGCACAACATGCTGCAGGTCCTCTTCCAGAGTCGACGTGGCAGTGAGCGTGCTGGACAGGGGTATAGGATCGTGATCCAGCCTCAGACGCAGGTTGCGCTGCTCCTGCTGCTGACATAGCTGCCGTACCACATCCGGCTTTAGCGACGGCACGGTGCCGTGACGGGGGAACATGCCTCTCGCATCACAGAGGCTGCTGACCGGCAGCTGCGGCTGCAGAGGCAGCTGGGTAGCGGACCCATCTGCTTGACGCCGAAGGGGACAAGCGGATGCCATGAGCTATAGCGAACAGGAAGAGTTAGTCCAATGACTACCGAGGCCTGAGCATGTTCAGTTCCTACCTGGTGGCTGACGTTGCAGTCCAGTGGTGCCAGGCCATGGTAGTGCGGGCTTTCCGCCCAGCCGCGGCTGCAGGAGCGAAAGCTTTGTGACCGTGCCTACATGAGAAGGAATGGCAACGGCAGATAGCGGCCGCTGTGGCGGGCATGCCTGGGCTAGCTGCATGCCCATACCATCAGCCACACGCTGAACCAGTGATCCTGCACCCCCGAGTGAGTGTATAGGAGGCGACGAACCGGATAGGCCTGCGTCACACACAACCATGATACCAATGAATTGCCCAGGCGACGTTAAGTCTGACGCAGGGCATCAGACTAGACCCACCTGCCGCTCGCACATGCCCTTCTTGCGGAAGCCAGGGGTCTGGAGGCCGAAGCAGCGATGCCATTCCCCCAAGCAGGGGTGACACACCGGGCCCAGCTGCATGGAGCTGCGAGGACAGCAGTCGCGAGGGCTGCAGCTGGGAGGGCTGCAGCAGAGAGGGCAGCAGCTGGGTTCGTTCCAGGAGATCCTTGGTTTCATACTCGCTGTAAGGCCTACACTTTACAGTGCCGTGTACATCATTTTCAGCGCCCACTAGGCAGGAAACCGACGTTGCAAGAAGGACAGAGCATGGATCGTACGGCGGTCCGCCAGTATTACTAATCGGCGAACTCCTGCTCTTCCAGATTGCCGCAAACAATGAACGCGTCTGTAAATACATGGAATGGTTACGTTCGAGAAGACCCTGAAGGTTTGCCTTGCTCAGGCCGGTAGGACTCTAGATATCTGTGAAGAATTCAGTTCGTATTGGGGATTGGCGAAATCTTGCCTTCCAAACCTTTTGCGTATTAACCTATTGAGCACGGCAATATGTAGATGTATATGGCGCACGGTCGTTAATGTATAACGACCCCGGATCCCGGCGACCCGTGACAGAGACCCGTGATGCTTCCCTTTGTGTTGCTCCTAAATATGCACATGCTTTCGTGGATAAAGCCATAGGAAAAGGATTGGCTTTGCCTTTGTAACGGTACCGGCAGTTTTGGAGCGAGTCGCAAGCAAGCAAGTAAATCAGAAGTGGCGGCTGGCCGATTACCAGTCCGCAAAAATGACTGTAATGGAAGACGGCGATAGGCCGATGGCCAGCACAAAGTATCATCACGTATCCGCCCGCGTGCTCAGCGTTGCAAACAAGCTTCGCGAGCTGGGGGTTGAGAGCGCCCTACAGGTACCAACCCTCGTTATTGCTGGAGATCAATCCTCGGGGAAGTCGTCTGTTGTGGAGGCAATTGCCGGTGTTGCGTTACCTCGCTCGGATGGAACTTGCACCCGTTGTCCGACGGAGGTCCGCATGAGGTAGGATGTCCCGGCTGGCGCAAATAAAGTTGGATTACCAGGTTGGGCTCTTGCAACGAAATTATGTATAATATTAATTCTTAGAGCCTATTATGACCCGTGCTGAAACCGTTGTTATTTCGCCATCCATTGTTTGCCATCAAATTACTTGCCGGCGTCCCACTATCACCAGGGCGCACGCGGCTAGCGGTTCTAGCATGGACGAAGATTCCGACAAGCCGAACTGGTCCTGCCGCATCAAACTGTGCCGCGATTACGACGAGCATGGCAAGCCGCTGCTCGAGAAGCCTCCCGAGGAGTTGTTCTGCACAGTACTGGACAAGTCGCACATCACGGCCTGCGTCACGGCTGCACAGGCGGTGCTCCTGAACCCCAGGGCCGTCAGCACCGACGCCCGAGGCACAAGCGCCTTCGTTCCGGATCTATCTGGATCCAAAGCCGAGGTCTCTGTAGCTCTGCGGGACCTGGGCGATGCCAACAACTATGAGCTTGGGTTCACA